CACGCTGCCCATGAGTAACAGTGAGAGGGAGCCTGATAATGACAGGCTGATCAATTTGGAGCTGGAACTCTTCAGGCAATGAACAGGTCCATGATGGAGAAGCGAGAACTATATATTCACCATGCCTGGTGATCCCCAAGAACAGGGCCGGCCAATTCTAGTGCAGGAGGGCCAGAGGTTGTAGATTTCCCTACTCAAACATACTTTACTCAGCTCAACAGCTAATTGCCAGCTTTAGTAGGTGTACTCAGAAAGTATTGGATGGATCTTTTTCTTTACAGAGACATTATATGGATGGAGATCTCAAAATGACCAAATGTTGAGACAGATCGCACCAAAATTAGAGCAGCATGCATAGTGGAATATGCAATGCATGAAATGACAGCCATAAATGCAGATCCTGTGAACCTGAGTGCATTGAGACAAGTTACACAAAGTTTGGCTTTTAATAGAGATTTTTTAGAGAGATGGGGAGAGACAGGTGTCAAACTCCAGTCCTGGGGGGCCAGAGCCCTGCACATTTTCAGGTTTCCCCGCATTTAACACACCTGATTCAACTCATTTAGTGCTAATTACCACACAGCTCTTCAGCTGAATCGTTTATTGTGGAACAGGGAAAGAACTAAGCTGTACAGGGCTCCGGTCCTCCAGGACTGGAGTTCGACACCCCTGGTGTAGAGGGTTAGAGATGGTAGTGGTTGGGGTGTGTGGGAGGAGTAGGTATTAGATGGGGGGGAGGGACCATCCAGGGATCACATTATTATCATTCCACTAGCATCTAGTTATGCACTTAGTATGTAACATAAATAAACCATAACTATTTACCTTATTATAGGCAAACATTGCTATATTATACCCCCCATATTTAGAAATGAATGGATTGTGGTACACTGTGGTTCCCTGGCCTAGCAGTTAGCATTGCAGCCTCAGACTTAAAGAGTTGGGACTGCTGTTTCCAGCCATGAGTCTGTGCAATTTGTCCTCCCTGTGTTTGTGTAGGATTCTTCCTGGAGGACAAAAATATGCTATTAAGCCAACTGGTGAGTGTAAATAGCCCGTAATGTGCGTGACCAGCAATGGACTGGCATCCCATCAGGGTATCCCCCCGCCTTGTACCCTAGGCGGCCTGGTATGCTTCAGGCTCATTCTGACTGTGTTATGGTTATGGAAGATCAGGTGTTAAATTGTTATAACACACACACACACACACACATAACCTATGGTTAGTTTGAATTTTAGTGTTGCATTTCACCCAATTAATCAAAAGTCTTCCCTGCCATTAAATGCGCTTGAAGGAATTAAACTGCTCTGGTTATGTGACTATTGACACTAGTGATGTGACATTGCTGATATACCATCAACACAACCTCTACTTTCATTTATAAGAAGTCTTTTGGGGATACAGGCAACAACCGGTTACTTAGAGCTTAAAAATTACAAAAAAAAATAGGTCACGATTGTGACCAGTGGGATTAAGATCAAGTTAGGCTATGTTAGCTTACTTTAAGCTCCTGCTACCTCACTTCCTAATTATTATCTAACCCAAATATGCTACTGATACCTTCCTGATTCTCTCTTAACGTCATTTACACATACAAAACACAAAAGGCTGCAAAAAACCTCTTAAGCTTGACATATTTTTTAGGATGAGTAACATCTGGCCTGACCTGATCTGAACATCTGGCTGTGCCCTTGACTTTACACCCAAAACAGCATTAGCCTATATATGTATAATTCAAGTACTAAATTAAATATGACCCTTTTGAAGCGAAATCATACTGTGAAAACAGTTATCACCGGTCACTAGTTATAAAAGCTAGAATGGCTTAAATTACTTATGCATCATCAAAAGTGTACTATATACTGCCAAAATATACTTTGAAATACCAACAGACATCACAAAATACTGAAAAGCAATCAGAGTAACTACAACTGGGGAAATACACAAATATGCACTGCAGAAGAAACATCGAAAGAGGCAGTATCTAATAATGTACACTTGGTGCAATTTTATAGCTGTGATATATAGTGGAAGCAATCAAACACGGTCGAATGTCAGAAATATAGTAAACAGACGGAAAAAGCTTTCGGGGAAAAATCTGGGATCTTTCTTGTCTTCCAAGACATCAAAATCCCACAGCGTTAGGAGAAGTAGCTGTCCCCTGCATTTTGTCATTGTTTCAGTTTTGCTGCATGTGGGGAAGAAAGACTGACGCCTCCGAAAGCTACTGACGGGAGCAGGAAGGAGGGTGTAATCCCTTCATCCACTCATCCCCTTCCGGGTCATATTCTCCGTCATCAGGCATAGGAAGTCAGCGTGTTTCAGCGAAATAAACAAGGAGGTATGTCGCTCCTGCCCTCCTGTTAAAGATAAAGGTGCATCAGGCCGGCATGGTAGAGAAGCAGGATCATGATGTGAGTATGCATTTCCAGACATATTAATTGACACTGCAGATTTGCAGTCAAACAGATGTTACTGTGTACATGGAGTAAGATAAGGCTGCGAGTTGCATCCGTGGGTCTTAAGCTCGTAGACAGTAAAGCATTTTAACTTCCCAGTGAACTTGATTCACTCTCAGTGATTGTCCGAGGATGGTGCATTTATGGTTATACTTATTGCTGAGGAGTTTAGGTTGTCAGTTTGCACATTATCTACATCGGTGGTTGGGTAACAGTTGTCAGTGAGATTGCTATTTGTTATGATGTTTCGGCTGCAGGCTCCGGTAAGGCAATGCGCCTGCAGAAAGCAACATAAACATCACGTGCATTGCTATGTATTGGCAATAGAATAATTATCTGCAAAGCGGAACGTGCACATGTCATTATCCTTGCCATAATCTAAGCCGTATCAGCCCTGAGTGCTTTAAGTACGTTGAGATTTAATGCAGCCGGCAAGGATGCCGGTTAAATATAAAACTGCAAGTAGAAAATGCATCGATCTATGAAGCTTTTAACTGTTTGTGTATTTTCATTAAATACTGTAGAATGATACTGCGAAAAAATGCGTTGGAAAAATTATTCTTCAGATAGCTTTTCTTAATCCTTATTTCTTAAACTGTTAGCTGTGAACGTTTATAAGTCAAGTAGGTACCAAAATATGTAATTTACCCCCATTAAGGCAGTAATTTAAACAGGTATTTAAAACTACATGAGCGTTAATAAATGTGTGGGCTCCGGCACTTGGACCGGAACTGTGTGCTATTGCCAAAGATGTTAGGGCACAAACGACAGTGGAGGGTTGTGTGTGGGTCCATGTGCAGAAAAGAGTGTAGTTTAGAATCATGAACTCAGATAATGGGTCACTTTACCTAAAAACGTGGTGGCATTCCCTAGGAGGCTCAAACTGGTTCCAGTGACACCACCCCAGCATACACACCCACACACAGATACACAAAAAGCGACTTAGAGATGGTTGATTTACCATAAAACCACCTTTGTGTTTGTAACATGGCCATTCTGTCGGCTTAAATCTCTTTAAAAACCTATGGATTTGAATTAAATGTGTAGGTACATAAAACATCCATGTAAGAGTCGTCATGCTATTTCTGCCAGTAGATCAAAATCAGGAGTATTAGAGGATTAATACATTTTAAAAAATATATTAAGAAATGGACTTGTACGCCAAAGAATACTGATTTAAAACAGTTTGTGCTCTGTACTTTCTTTTAAAAGCCATGGAACACAGTAACTGTTATACAACAAGACAAAAAATTGTTTGTAACCTTATGAAATCAGAAATTTGTGATAAATGCATTTTTGACAGTCTTATCATAATAGAGTATCAGTTTACTTACTATAATATTAATGTTTTGTATTGATTTATATATAGAATATATATAGAATTGACCTTTAAATTGAAATATTATGTTTGCTCTGTTTGATAATATAATGCCCTGTGATAGACTGGCATCCCATCTTAATCTCCTATGAGACTCACAGACAAAAGTGAGAGCTAATTTTGCAGTCATAGTGCAAGGTCAATCATTCATTTGGGACCCCTGGAGCATTTTATAGGTTAAGGGACTTGCTGAAGGGCCCAGCAGTAATATGGTTCACTTTCCTGTTCAAGGGATTGGAACCAATGACCTTCCGACGATAGACACAGAGAGCCACACATGGATGGCTATTAGTGTAATAAATGTACTCTTTAAAGATGTACGTATGGGGGAATGCTGGGAAATGAGCCGTTCCCTGTGCAGATGGAGGAGGCAGACCAGGTGTACCTGCTGATGAAGAAGGGCTACCGGATCTCCCGTAACGTGCGGCTGGCCTGGTTCCTCAGCAGGCTGAACCAGGCGGTGCGGCCGACGCCCCACACGGAGCTGGTGGGTGCCTCTTCCCCCCAAGTCTGCTCAGGGTAACCCGCCATATATGTCGCCGTTCTCATGCCCCGTCTCTGTCTGGCTGCAGTTTAACGTAGACAGCGAGCTGGATGTGCTCAGTGTACTCCCCAAGGGGTGCCAGCCCGACTTCCCCCCCACCACTCTGGCCTATCAGCTCGTCCCGTCCACCAGGGTCACATTCCTCTCCCACCGGTACCGGTTTGTCATCGAACTGGATCTCAGCCCTTCCACAGGAATTGTGGTGAGTGCTATTCGTGAAGTTTGGGGAAATTCCTGATCTTAATAGTGTTAATGCAGGGATTATTTGTGTGTGTATGTGTGTGTGGAGGGGGGGGGGGAGGTACAGTACTGTGCAAAAGTCTTAGGCAGCCATAGAAAAAATGTTTAAATTCTGTTTGTGTTGATAAAACTGTGGTTGTACGTGTAATATTTGCTGTATTTACAGCACTTGTTCAATATACTCGTGTTTTTTGACTCCAGCCCTAGCACACCATGTTTAGTTAATACCTCACTGACTTATTTAACTGATGAAGTTAATTCATTAATTGAGCTGGTGCCCCTAAAGAGAGGTTTGGCAACTGAAGCGGCATTCATCTAGCCATCCAATAAAATATCAGTAACTTTTTTGATAAAAAAGTATTCTCTCTGTATTTTTAACTTAAAAGCTGCAGTGGTGAAGAAATGGATTTAATAGACCTTGTACCATTGCATTGATGGATGGCTCCTCCTGTCACGGCGTTCCTCATTTCAGGATGACAGTACTGAGGAGATGATGTTTGATGAGGTTTTCCATGCCCTGTCCCGGTGTCTGGCTGGCCTGACCAAACCCTTCAAAGTCCCGGGAACAGACCTTGTGTTTCAGCCTGAGATCTTCGTCACCATCCTTGCCTACTCCTCCATCATTGGGCTGAGATCACACCAGGTCATTTTTAAAGAGTTGCACCAGTGTGCTTTAATGCTATTAGTGAAATTTCCCCATCCAGTCTTGCTCAAAATGAGACAGGCAGGTGAGAACTAGCTTGGGGGTCACAGCACAGGGTCTGCCAACATGCAGCACCCATGGAACAATCGGGATTAAGGGCTTTGGTCAAAGGCCCAATGGTGGCATCTGTTTGCCGGGCCTGGGATATGAACCTGCGACAGTCTGATCGTGGGCATGAGTTTTAACCCTCTGAGCTAAACACTTCCCACCCTTAGCCTATTCACCGGAGAACTAAAGTGTAGTTATGGGTAACCTTAGATAAGTGTCCCATCTTGATATTTTTTTAGTTGTCTCTGCGCCTTTCCCATCTAAGGATACTTTTCTTCACCTCAGGTTTTGGTCCAGGGATGCCAGCTGGATTGTATTGATCTGGAACGGTTTTTACACCAGATCTACCAGCAAGTCAGGGCAGTGGAAAACAGCATCGCTGAGGTCCTCCAGCAGCAGCACCATCAAGCAAGAGGGCAGGTCAGACAGCGGTTATAAAGAACACCGTTATTCAAGTCAATATCTTAAACTCGAGCGTCACGTAATGTGTAGAAATGCATCAACACTCAGGGCACATGCTGAATTGTGTTGGCAGTGTGATTCGGCTGTTCTGTGCTCCGGGATCTCAAACGACTTGATGGATGCTCAGCCTGAAAGGAAGCTGGCGGTCTCCATGGTAACGGCTGATGTGGGTTTGGTCAGCATGATCAGGCAAGGAATCTTAGCTCTCCAGCTTCTGCCTCCCAACTCCAGTGCAGGTGGGTGATATTCTCTTCTCTTCCTTTCATTTGTATGTCCCCGATGTGATAATCATTCCCAGCTACCTGCTTGGAGAACTGACTCTTTGATGGCTCCTGAATGTCATCACAGTTCACACCTTGTTTGCTTGTGTTCCATAATATTAGCCAATTGACATTGGAGTCTCAGAGGTTTTTTTCCTCATTATGTGAGAGTTTCTGGTTCCTCTCTTCCGTGGTCTTCTGACATTCTTTGTTCCCTCTTCCCTTTTTTCCCTGTTTCATGTACCGTTCTGTCTAAACAATGTCATAATTTATTGCCACACACTCTTGTCAAGTGCTTTGGGGTGACTCTGTTGTGAAAGGCGCTATATAAAAACAAATTCAAAGTATTTGTTCCTACATCTGCGATTACCCATATATATATTTTTCCTCTGCCACATAAATGAAATGAAATACTTAGAATTCCATTCAGTTTTTATCTTTCATATGACAGCTATGTTTATGAAGACATACAATATATATAAGCCTTTTGTCTTTTATTCATTCCTTAACGTGTATAATTGTATCAAGGAAACAAGAACTGGTCACCAAAAGACATTTGTATTCCGCTGTATGGAAATATTTCAGATTCCATAGAGACGACATTGAGCAAAAGCAGTTGTCAATTTGTCAGTCCTGCCGTGTGCCTGTTTGCACAACTCGCAGAAAAAACACCACTCTGTGGATGTAGTTTATTTTGGGTATATTTTCAACTGTTTTATAAATATCACCATATTTATCACAAAAAAAAATTGAATTTCCCAGTTTGCTATTAAGCTGGACAAGATAGTAGGAGATGCAGCAGAGAATTGCATGGGAGAAGATTCACTTGTCATGGTTGGTGGTTGTTTTATTTTAGCTGATGTTTATGCTTTTAATCCACAGCTGGATACTTTACTGGTACAGTCTGGGTCGACTCCAGCTATCAGCAGAATAGACAGTTGCTTAGGGCTCCTGAATTACCTGCATTGCAGAGGAAGTGAAACGGTCATCGATTTTCTTGGTAGGGGGGCCTCCCAAGTAAAGCTTTGTTGGGGGCCCCTGAAAAAGCAGAGCCAGTGCACTTATATTTGAGTGATTCACAGTACAGCAGTGTGGTATCATACTTGAACGGCTTCACTGAACAAATATGTGTCTCAAATTGGGGTAACACCTGCTCTCAGTATTCCATTTAGGAACCTCCTTAATGCTTCCAACTTTCTTATTTTTATAAAACGTGTTTCAAATAACCTTTGGCCATTTATCAAAAATGCAGTGGCTTAATTCAACAAGATTATTATTTTAGTAGTCATAGGTGGTTGAGTTTTTAAAAAGATAAACAGTTTGTACTTTTTTTTACCATTTAGCAATGTCTGGTTTGTGAAACAGACATTTTTTTTTTCCCCTGCAGGAATAATAATCATCACGGATGGAGTGACCAGCGTGCCTGACATTTCTGTGTGTGAGACCATTCTGAACCAGCTCCGGAGTGGAACCATAGCCTGTTCTTTCATTCAGGTAGACCTCCATGTCCACTCGAGTAATATAATCCTGAAGATCCGTCACGGCACACAAAGATATTACTAAAGGCACTCAAAACGTGAATTCTACACTGACTTGGTGCTGACATGTGCTGTACTATGCTCATTAGGAAGGGAGAGATCTGCTAAACCCTTTCATGCTTGCTGTCCACACTGATGAACAGTTGATTTAAGGCTATTTCAGGTAAATTTAAGTTGTTAGCAGCCACTGGACCCATGGAAAATCAAAGTCAAGGATGGGCAAGTCTCACCTGTGCTCCCAAGAAAGGAGCCAGGTCAATTCTGCCAAGGAAAACCAGTACGATGCAGAGGAATTAAAAAATTATTTTTAACAACTCAGGTATGAAAGGTTAATGAGGATACAGGTATTAGTGATATTTTAGAATGTATGTGAAAGAAATTGTATGTTTAGGTCCTCCTCACTCATTGGTCAAATCAAAATTCCATAATGAAAGACGGCCACATAGATAAATGCCCACATTGGAAGAGGAATGGGTCCCACTGTGACATCATAATGGTCAGACAAGCAGAGGAAGCATTTAACATGATAATCTATAGTGTGGAGGTGTTAGTTCAACGGGTGTTTTTTTTTTTTTTTTTATATAATCATTGACCTTAAGAGCTGTTGAATCCAAAAACACCTGCATATCCATTTTGCTTCATAATGAGAAGGCTTTGGACATACCCATCAATCAGGGTCAAAAGAGACTGGGATCTTAGTCAAATGGCTTATTGTTTCATTGATTTCAGTGTCGCTTTTTTTTTTTTTTTTTTTGCTTTATGGCAGAATGTACTGGATAATTTCAAAGGGCATCAATGAAATATTTACTAAGAAAAGAATCTTGAAATAAATTATATATGTCTTAATAAGGGTGGCGTTAAAGGGGGCAGGGATTTGGCGGGGGGTTTACAATGACCTTAATAACAGATTTCTCACTTCCCAGGTGGGTGGGGCATATTCTTACGACAGCAGCTTTGGCTACATCCCCAATGTGGAGCTGATGAAGTTCATCTCCATGGCCACCTTTGGGTCCTACCTGTCGATCTGTCCAGAGCTGGATCTGACCAATCAGGAGATGAACACCTATCATAAGGCATTCCTCACCTACTCCTTCCTGAAGACCAGCGAATCCATGAACCCAGACTACTACTGTGGTAGGATGGTGTTTACAGAGAATCTCCTTTGATTATTTGTACATGTACCCTGCTTAATGCCATGTGTCTCAGTGATATAGGCTAATGCCTCTTAACTGGTGGTGTCTCAAGACCCACATTATTCCTTTGTTATTAAGTCATGACCCAAATTTTGAGCCATATTTTTTTTCCCCCAAAAAAAATAGCGCAGTAGTAAATAGAGCATAGTTCAGTAACATTAGCACAGTGCCTTCTTGCACCATCCAAAATAATGCATATTTTTTTAACTACAAACTGCACAACCCAATGGAAATGGACCTCAGTTTTGGACCATAACCCACCAGTTAAGAAACAGTGATGTAGACTCTACATCAGAGGTGCCCAACTCTAGTCCTGGAGGGCCGGAGCCCTGCACATTTTTGGGTTTCCCCTCATTTAATACACCTGATTCATCTCCTTGTGCTAATTACCACACAGCTCTTGAGCTGAATCATTTATGGTGGAACAGGGAAATAACTAAGCTACACAGGGCTCCGGCCCCCCAGGACTGGATTTGGGTACCCCTGCTCTGCATAGACATGACTGCAGAAGTAGATACTGAAAATGCATGGATAGATCCATGAAGAACGTAAGAACAGTTTACAGTTTGCTCTCTATATCCATAGAATAAAGATGAATGATTATGTAGAAGCACAGCTGTTTATGTTTAGGGTTCTCATGCATGTCATGGTAACTCATACATGTCAACTCATCGACATTGAAAACGGTAAGATGAGTGATTCAAAAACACCCGTGAGGTTTGCTGAAAACAGCGAGCTATCAAAAAAGGTCTCCTTGCATGTAGTCGTGTACCGAACACTGAAATATTTTGCCGACTTGGGTTTGGGAGGTGGCCGTAGCAGCTGAAAATTAGCTGAATTGGGAGGGGGGGGTGGTCTTCCTGACCAGATTAATTCTACTGTCATGTCTTCGCAACGACATTTTGTCTTTGTTCGGTTTGGCCACATAAAAACCCTTGAGACTTGCATTTGCATTTCGGTTGGCAGCAGGGGCTGAAAGCCGTGAGTCTTATTGATAAAACGTGAGATTGACACCTCTGCTAACTGTGGGTCTATGACACCCTTCAGATTCCCAGCACAAGCTCTTCAATGAGCACCTGGTGTCAGCCAGCGGGAACCCTGCCCTGGTCATGCGTAGGAAGAAGCACACTGAGAAGGAGGTGCATGCCCACCTGCTGAGCGTGGTGTCTGTCAGGCTGAGGGAGGGGTACTCCATCCGCGAGATCAACGTCATCAAAGGTACGCAGCCCAACTGGAGCCAAGCCAACCCATGGCCATCCTTAGTGCTTATGCAGTGTGCGATTAGTCAGACAGGGTAAGCTTTCTGTACAGGTCATTTTGTGTTAATGCTATTGGCTGCCTGATTGTGGGTGGGGTCAATAGATAGCACTGGGGTTTCAGCTCCAAGGTTGGCGGTTCGAGTCCTGCCCTGGATCTGTCTGTGATGGAGTTTGCATGTTCTCCTTGTCTTCATGGCAGGGCCAGTACAATGATTTTTTTTAACATAAGAGGGGCCAAAATTCATACAAAGGGGGCAGTCTTGTTTTTAGCCAATGGTATGTTTTGAATCAGTGAGTGACAGGGGAGGGGGCACTCAGGGAACACTCTGGAGGCCAATCAGCTTTCAGTTGGGGCCAGTGTCCCTGTGGCCCCACCCCTGTATATGCCCCTGGCCCATGTAAGGTTCCAAATGATCCAAAGACATGCTGATCCACAAAAACCGTGTCTCTAAATAGGCTGTTGCTCTTCCTTGGGCAAGTGGGTGCTCTCTGGACAGCTGGCCTGGATAAGAGGTTATGCAGAGATGGGTGGCTGAGGCTGTAGGAGGCTTGTAAAGCATCTCCCCATCATGTCTCAGGCGGGACACAGCTGGAGGTGAAGCTCGTCCTTCTGTGGAAGCACAACATGCGCATCGAGTACCTGGCAGTGGCGTCCTGGCCACTGGATCCCGGAAAGCGCACCACGTGCGTGGACGTGACCATGGAGGGTAGCTATGACATCCTACATGACATCAGCTGCACCATGAGGAAGCCCATCACCAGCCCCTACCGCACCTCTGTCATCCGCCGCTTCTGGAACACTCTGCAGAGGTCAGTATGATGGGCCCTGGTCATTTAGTTCTTCCAGGGGTTTAATGTAAGTAAGATTGTATGCAATTATGAGAAAAGGTTTCTGAACCCATTGGAATTATCTGCTAAAATGGCTCCTGAAATGTGACCTGGACTTCATTTGACTCATAGAGTATTTTTTGACATCGCAACATTTTACATTGTCGCATATTTATTGAACAAATGGTTTAAACTAGTGTTTCTCAACATAGTGCACATTTTTGCTCCCTTCCAGCTCCCAGCACACTTGTACCAGGTATTCGGTGCTGTTTGGTTTGTTTTTGATAATTTAGTCCAGGTGTGCTAGGAGCCGTGCAGGCAATCCCCAGGTTATGAACGAGATCTGTTCCCTAAGTCTGTCTTTAAGTCAAATTTGTTGGCAAGTTGGAACAAAAGTAATACATTACATAATAACAGTAATAATAATACTATAGTAATAGTGAAAATAACTACATACGGTGCTGTACCTCAAGCTGACGAACCACTGAAGCCATGCAATGTTTTTATGAGCATCACAAAATAGTGCGTATGTTTGCTATTAGAAACTATTGCATTTCACTCACATTTTTAATATAATGGGCTTTATAACAGTCTGTTCATAAGTACAAGTTGGACGTTCTTAACCCGAAGGATTGTCTTTATATATACCGATCAGCCATATCGATAAAACCACTGACAGGTGAAGTGAATAGCACCGATTACTCATTACAGTGGCACCTGTCAGGGGTGCCCTTATGTATTAGGAAAGTCAACAGTCAGTTCTTGAAGTTGATGTGTTGGCTATGATTGAGAGGTTTCAGAACACACAGTGCATCGCGGTTTGATGCGTATCTGAGTGCGTCGTCTCAGGTCAGTCGCAGTGCCCATGCTGACCCCTGTCCACTGCCAAAAGTGCCTACAGTGGGCACACGTGCGTCAGACCTGGAAGAAAAAGCAATGGAAGAAGAAGGTCTGGTCTGATGAGTCACATTTTGTAGAGGCAGGGGGTGTGCGCCTCGTTTACCTGGGGAAGAGATGATGGAAGTATGCTCTATGGGAAGAAGGCAAGCTGGTGGAGACAGTGTAACGCTCTAAGCAATAACCTGCTGGGAAATCTTGGGTCATGAAAAAGAGCTCAAGGTGTTGACTTGACCTTCAAACTAAAGGTCTCAATCCGATCACGCATCTGTGGGATTCGCTGGACAAACAAGTCCTATCCATAGAGGCCCCACCTTGTAACATGCAGGACCTAAAGGATCTGCTGCTAACACCTTTGTGCCAGATACCACAGGACACCTTCAGAGGTCTTGTGGAGTCCAATGCCTCGATATATCAGAGCTGTTGTGGTCGTACGAGGGGGACCTGCACAATATTAGACAGGTGGTTTTAATGTTATGGCTGATCGGTGTATATAAGACTTTTAGATAAAGATGATTATGATCACATGACAGCAACAGCAATTGCACCTAGTCTAATTAACTGAAGCTGACATCTGATGTGAATCTGGTGTGGTATTCAATATTCTAGTATTGCGTTGCTAACTATTGCAGCCGGAACCACTTCAGGGGTACACTAGTTGTGTTTTTGGAGAAGCCTTTCTGTACTCCACCAGTTTTTTTGCACTTTTGATCTTCCTGTTACTAAACTCTTAATGCTGTAGTGCGTGAAAATCTTAGACGGGTGGCGGTTTTTGTGATTCTGCAATTTGAAATGTCAGGCACCAACAGTCATACATTATTCAATATTGTTTTTGGTCACAAGCCTTTCTAATGCTTTCTAATGCAGACCGTATATTCACATTTGCATATTCAGTAGATGCTTTTGTCCAAAGCGATGTACCAGTGATGCAAATAGCACATTGCAAACATTCATGTTGTCAGGGAGTTAACTAGGCCTAAGTGCAGCTAGGCTGAGTTTACAGTCAATGGTCAGGTATACAGTGTATAAAGTATTGGAAGAGGAGCTACCCAAGAGTTACACAACCATACATATAACAAAGGATAAACCAGTTAAGAAGCACTAACCTATGTCAGTGAGACCCAGGGCATTAAGACTACAGATGGTCCAGTAAGTGGAACACAAGTGCATTCAAAGACCTTTCATGGTAGAGGAATTCATGGAACAGGCATTGGGGTTTCTGATGACTGGACATGATTCAGTATGTCGTTCCATCACCAGGGAACCTTGCAAGAGGGTCATTTGAAGTAACACTTCTCATGTGTTGGAATGAGCTCTAAGCAATGTTGGGTTGCTGACCAAAGGGAGTGAAATGGGATATAGGTAGTAAGGAGGCTTTTGATGGAAATGGATGCCTACCCATTAATGGACCAGTAAGCTAGCAGCAAGGACTTGTTCTTGATGTGAGCATCAATATGGAGCTAGTGAAGAAAGACAAATGGGTGTAATATGAGAATAATTAGGCTGAATGAATATCAGATCTGCTGCCATGTTTTGAATCATCTGCAGTGGTCTAATAGCACAAGTTGGTAACCCTGTCAGTAAGCAGCTGCAGTAGTCAAGTTGTGGGGTAACAGACGCCTGGACTAGAAGCTGAGCTGCATACTAAGACAATGGCTTGGTCTTCTTAATGTGATACAGGGTGAATCAGCAAGATTGGGAGAGCACTGCTATATGCTCAGCAAAGGACAGCTGGTCATCAGTCATTACCCCTAGTTTCCTAGGAGACCTTGGTGGACACAATGTGGATGATCCAAGCTGAAGAATGATGTCATGGTTGATGGTCGGGTTGGCAGGGAAGACAATAAGCTCAGATTTGGAGAGTTTAAGCTAGAGGTGATTATTCCACATCCAGGCTGCGATGTCCTTCAGGCATGCAAAGACCTGAACAGAGACCATGGTGTCTTTAGGAAAGAAGGTCATGTAGATCTGGATGTCATCAGTATAGTAGTGGTAGGAGAAGCCATCAGACCTAGAGAGGTAATGTAGATAAAGAAAAGAATAGGACCAAGGATATAACCTTGGGGAACATTGGTTGTTACCGTATGTGATCTAGATACCTTTTCACCAGTAAACAGTAAGTGAACCTCATGACCTTGTCTATGTGCTGTGTGTATTCAGCTGCAGTCACTTTATTGGTTGGAGCAGGCTGTTTGCATTAGCAAGCAGGTGTAGTTAATAAAGTGGTTGTTGATTATACGTTTTATACTTATAAACCCTATTTTTCCCTTCAGCATAAACCAGACGGATCAGATGCTGGTCCACTTGCAGTCTTTCAACTCCTTGCCAGAGCACTACACCATCCCAGAGAGTACAAAAAATGGAGTGCCTCTGTTTTACATCCCTCCTGGCTCCACCACGCCGGTCAGTCCCTGTGTGCTGTATATAAGAGCCTGTAAAATGCCTCTACAGATCACATAGATAGCAGATGAAATGAAATAATGCTTATTTTCATATATCCTTTAAGACATGCACATGTACTGTATATAGAGTGAGGTATTGATTAGGTCGGTGAGGTATTGAGTAGGTGTGGCAGTGGTCATGTAAAAATATACATGGGTATATTGGACAGTTGCTGTAATTACTGGGGTGACTTTAGCAGAGGTTTTGAAATGCTAAGCTGACACATTGACTTAATGTCATAGTTTTGAATTATTTTTTTTACTTTTACACACCCTAACGTCCTTGGTGTGCCCTTTGAATCGCAGGTGCTGTCCCAGCAGTACAGCGGCTCCAAGGATTCCAGCCAGTCGCAGTTCGCCTCCTACTGGAAGCCCATCCTCTCCATGGACGCCAACTTCTGGCAGAGATGGCTACACATGCATCGCATCACCATCATCCTGCAGCACGACACGTACGCAGGGCCCGGCCCGTTCCTCTCGGCGTACTGCCTCGTGGCGTAGCGCATCCCGTGACGGTGCCGTAATTCCGAGTCTCCCCGCAGCCCCGTCCCTAAGCACCTGCACATGGCTGGTGCCAACGGCCGCTTCAGCACCATCCAGTGCCGCATCTCCCACTCGGCCCTCACCTTCCTGCTGCGGGACTGGAGCAGCTTTGTGCTGGTGGAGGGATATTCCTACGTCAAGCTCATCTACAGGTGAGTGGAGAGGAGGCTGGGGCCCCAGCACCATCTGCGTGATTCCCCCCCCAGCTGTTTTATGCAGTGGTTGGGTTTCAGATCTGAATCTACTTCTACTTATTATGGGTGGTAGTTGATTAGTTTAATAGTAATAATATTAGTGATGCTTCATTCATCCCTGTGGAGAAATTGGGAGTTTTTCCTCATATCATATCTTGCCATGAGAGAAACAGACACACACTCAGGTGAGAGCAAGTCTTTGGGGTCGCAGTGCAGGATCAAGCAATTGGGGTTAAGGGCCTTAATCAAGGGTACATTAGTGACATCACTCCCTCACCAGCCCCAGACTTGAAACTGGGGCCTGTCTCATACCAGCACCAATTTCCAACCTCTTGATCTATGGGGCTCTTCATACCTTCTGGTGGTGGAACTAACCAGCTGTATGACATGGCCTATGCGCTTCAAGGAGAGGTTTGACACACAGTGTTATAGAGGATCAAGGCACTTATTTGGTCAAGAACTTGGCTTGAGGTGCATGGAACTATGAACGACATCAATGCTGAGACAGAATGATGATGAAGATGATGGTGGCAAAGAGAAATGCTTTCCTAAACTCTTGTTTGCAGTGGCCTTGACCAACCTCCCACATCCTTCTACTTGGTGCGTCTGATCTCCAAGGCTCCCTGCATGGTGCTCCGGCTAGGATTTCCTATAGGGACCCTGGCCCACATTAGGAATAAGGTACTATGTAGACATCATTGTGTCCAATAATCTCTTACAACCATGCAATCAGTGGGGTCATTCTCGCAAACCTGAGATTTCTTTTTGTAAAGATACAATGAAATACAGTGTTTTTTGTGGACAGCAAGTGACATCACCATAACTTTTTATGTACATTAAAATTGTGTCATTGTTGAATTTGGGGAAAACAGTTTAAAAAAAAAAAATCAAAGAAGGTGAAAATTTCATCACCATAACTTTCAAGATCACAAATAAATCACAAAACTAGATAAAATGTTTTTTAATTAATTTGTATGATCAGATGATATTTTTTGCTCACTTCTTTTAGTTATGTCATTTTTTTCTCATCTACATAGCCCTTCCCGTGGGATTTTTAAAATATTTGTATTGCAGAAATAAATGGTAATATAATACATGATTACCGCAGAAGCAAAACTTACCGTGTAGAAATGAAGTTGTATAATTTAAATGTCTTCAAGCTAGTTTTAGAAATAAAAGAAAATTGATATGTTATCATAATGAGTTTGTCAGAAAGACCTAGTGAAAAAAACTGGTGTGGAATACCTTCCTGTCTTTCCCTTACGTCACAGATTGCAGATGAGCTACGGGACCAGATCCTGAAACTAAGGTTTCCACACCGTGTCCAGGGAAAAGAGGCTTCCACCCCTAAAGTGAAGAGAAAAGTCCTAGAGAATGTGTCCCCCTCCAAATCTCCTCCCCCGCTCACCCTCAAGCCGGCTCTGTCTGACCGGCCCTGTGTGGTGGTTCTTAACAAGCCACTGGAGAAGCTACTGATCAGGTCAGCTGAACCCATCACCCCTGGAAGCCAGAGGCACACTGCCCTGGTGTTAAAACTCAGCTTCCATTAATTGGCATTCCCTGTGGTTGCTAGAATCATGCTGTACGCTTCTATGAACTTTAAGGTTCTTTGAAGAGTCCTTAAAGCCTGCAGGCTGTTTGGTGTCACCCGAGCTTTGGGCCAGAAAGAAAAGAGGAACGTGAGGACAGGGACACGGGGAAGGAATGGTGACTTATTTGGGGATGGGAGTGGAGACGGGATTAACCAAGGTGACCCCAAAAACAGAGAGAGCACTGAAAGGAGTGTTGGGTTACAGCATCTCTACGGCAGAGGGCTGGCTCTGGCATCAGGGTCTGGGAATGCTGATTGGGGTGCAAGAGACCAGGTCCAGTCTAACCGTGACTGGGAACAACATATAACATTAATTTATTTAGCAGAAACTTTTATCCAAGGCAACATATTTCAGGGTCATCCAGTCTTGAAAACTTTTGAGGTTAAGAGCCTTGGCTCCAGGACCCCTGTAGTCGCATCACTCTGCCAGCCCTGGGATTTGAACCGGCGACATTCCGATCTTGGGTGCAGCATCCTAACCTACTGAACCACAGGCTTGTCATGTGACCTCAGAGAGCCCAATCAGCTGTGGCCTTTATGATGATACAATTCATGTTCCTTACAAGAAAACCTATTATATTTACTTTACTCCTATTCAGTGTTATTTCCTGACAGTGTTATTTCCTGACAGTGTTATTTCTGACAGATCTTTAAACTGTTTGTATATGTCTTATGTCGTGTGACATCCCGTGTGCAGGTACGAGAAGCCACCATCTGATTACCATGCGCCCTTCATCCTGAACATGGAGCACTTCTCGCAGGCCCCCACCTTGTCCGCCCCGCTCACTGTGGCCGCCAGCCGCACGGTATCCTCCACGTTGGCGTCGCTCTCCCGTTACTTCCTGCATCGGCGCTGGGTGTGGGCGGTGCAGAACGGGCTGGGCCCAGCGGTCTCGCTGCAGGCCGTCACCCACATCCTCACCCTGCTGTCAGAGTAAGTTATTTACATAGTAAATGCTCTTGTCTGGAGTGACGCTCAAGTAATGGTCAGCCAGTTCCTGGAACTATTGGGATTAAGGGCCTTGCTTAATGGTCCATTGGTGAAATCAGTCTGCCAACCCTGGGATTTGAACTGATAGCCTTCCGATTACGGGCACCATAGAACCACACAGTACCAAATATTGGTGCTTTTGTCAATTTATGTCTCATGTCTTAGCCTGAACACCCTGGCTCAGGGTTTTAGCCAGCTTGTTTCAGATGGTTTTATGTGGGGGGGTGGTAGCTCAAGAGTTGGGGACTCATCCTATCAACGCTCTGTGGCTATGTGGAGTGTTCCCTTTCTCTGCAACTGGATACAGTTGGGTAGATTGGCTCTTCTTGTGTGTTTATGGTTCCTGTTTGTTTGGCCCCCACAGTGTCCGCCTGTCTGAGGGGTTTAATTTTGCCGCCAGCGGTGAAGGTATCGTCAACATGGTGACAGAGCTGCCCATGCAGGTGAAGGCCGTCACAGGAACATCACTCTCTGTTTATCAGTTTGACTGATTTCACTGTTATTTAACTTTCCTTATGCGCCCTACTATTGCTGCTATGAGTGCGTTGTCGTCGATCCTGCTCAAAGATATTTTAGTCCATGTCCTCAACGGGGAGGCTTTATTGCAAAACTAAGTGTGTGTGTGTGTGTGTGTGTGTGTTTTGCCTGCAGGCATCAGAGGATGGGGAGAGTCACACCTGCATCATCCAGTACATCCTCTTCCCTCCGCACTCCACTTCCACCAAGGACAGGTGGGACCTTACACACAGACTGAGCATTTTCCCTCACATGACTAATACAGTGGCTCTGAATCCGGTCCTCAGGCTCCCCCCATCCAGTCCACACTTTTGTTCTAGTACAGCAGCAGCATGCCTAGACCAAGGCTTTATAATTATGGCAAGCAAAGTAGGTGGTGGAACAGAACAAAAATGTGGACTGGCTAAGGAGTAACACGGGATTAACATATTTATAGTATTATAATTTTTTTCTGTAACCTAAAAAGAACTAAGAATTTTTTTTAATTGTCAAGACTTTATAGTATGTCCTAATTATTATCTGTGATGGACAAAGGGATTGTTTTTGCAGTTATTGTTGTCATGTGTAAGCAATTTTATATATTAGATATTAGAATATACGTAATTGCTCTCAGACAGGCCATCAGACATGTTAACTACATACAGATTCTTCAGTTATAAGGTTTAATTGGAATGCATTGTGTTCTGTTTGTTAAATCTACGCAATAGACGCTAATGCACTTCTCTGCATACCTCAATCGATTCCTTCATTCAGAAGTATTGGTGGTGCTATTAATTACTGAATCAGCTTGCCATTTACACTCACTAAGCCAGCACTCTTTGGTGCAGCTTTTCCACTGACGACGACAACGACACAGAGGTAGAGGCCATTGACCTGGACACGGAGCTGAACCTGGTCACGGAGTGCTGGGTGGAGCCTCAGACAGGGGTGGTTGGCATGGCTTCTGAGCATCAGAGGCACCTCTGCGACCTCATGTACCAGGAGATCCCCCAGGCGGTCAGTCCTCCTCCTCTTTGCTCTTCACTGCCTGTTAGGGTTTTGTTTGAAAATCTTTGCATTGCCAAAACTGCTATTATGATGAATCAGCCATAGGGGCGGGGCTACAGGGCACTAGCCCCAGATGAAAATTGATTGGCTCGCAGTGTGCCTCTTCCCCTGTCAGTCACCGATTCAAAACAAATCATTGGCTGATGGTAAAGTTGGGTCCTCTGTATGAATTATGGCTTTTCTTATGTTAGGTCTGAGGCTAGGGGTCTGTACCAGCAATCGGAAGGTTGCTGGTTCGTATCCCATAAATGCCAGCAGTGATCCTACTCCATTGGGCCCTTGAGCAAGGCCCTTAACCTGCAATTGCTTCGACCAGGGTATGATGTTAATCTACATCCAGCCCTGTAAGGAGGTCCTCCTACTTACAGGGAAATTTGGGGGTTTCTGGCAGGATTGTCACTCCAGCCACAGGAATAAACTCACACTGGTCCATTCAGACTAGTGTGGTGCTGAGGGATCACCAACTGCACAGCTGCACTCGGGTTCTCATCCCTGAGGTGGTTTGTCGCGTGGTGGGTGCGCTGTGCCCCTTACCCCTCTCTTCTCTCTTCTTATGCCCCCACCTTAATAAATCCTAGAATTGCCCCTGTTCTACGATGACTTCAATTATGGGAGGTTTTGGACTGTAATGTTCTGCTGCTTCCTCTCCAGATTTTTCCCCGGGATCTGGCCTGCATGTGTACTATTATGACTTTTGAATACCTAAGTCAGCTGTGCCAAAACAAAGACCTCATCTACCCGCTGTGTGGGGACAAAGTTTTTAGGGGTGAGTGCCAACATAATTAAAATAGATCACCTTGCTAACCTGGAGTTCAGGGGGTTCATTGGTAGATTGCCCATGTCCATTCTACCTTAGATTATGTCACGGTTGAGCTGTTTCCATCATCAAAGGTTGGTTCTCTTTTCCTCTAAACCTGTAAATTTGCCAGCTAGCTAGGAGTTAAAGCTATTAGCTAAGTCACTGTTTGACAAGATGATCATACAAACTCTTCTCCCCAGACTTGTCCTCTTTTGTGGTACATAAAGATGTGTTTTTGGCATGGAAAAATCGCCAGGATTTCTCTTTCATGATGACTTTCTACAGTCAGAATACTTTGTGTGCATATTTGTGTTGTTTTGACTCCTCTCTTTACATCCTGCCTAGTTGCCCTCTTTTTTGAAAACTGTTAAAATGTTAGATTTTAATTGTATATAATTGAAGGCATCAGACGAAGGATTATTTTGTATTTGACCTCATCCCGTGGTTGATGATGGAGATAAATGCTGTCGCTCAGACTGCAGACTATGCGTTTCCGGCCTTGAGATGCAGTATCTTTGTCTGTATGCAGAAGACGCGACAGCATCCGACGAGTGCATCCAGACCATTCCTTTCCAGTTTGACCTGATCAAGCTGCTTCCCAAGTGCCAGCAGATTGAGATCGTCTTCCTTACTCTCAGCAGAGGTACAGAGTACACAGTACAGAGTACACAGTACCCATTCTATAGGCCAGTGTTTCTCAGACCAGTCCTTGGGAACCGTTCAGACTGTCCACATTTCTGCTCCCTTCCAGCTTCCAACACACCTGTACCTTGTACTCGCTGTTCAATTCAGGTGTGTTGGGAGCGGGGGGGAAGCAAAAATGTGGACAGTCTGGGTGGTCCCCAAGGACTGGGTTCACAAACATTACTAACAGATGGTTTCTTTCACCCCTGTCCTTGCAAGCACAGGATGCCATTTAAAGTATATATATATTTTTTGTGCTGCAGATGATATTGAAGAGGTGGCTCATAGTAGCCCATCATTGCCCAATGAGGTTCTGGTGAGCCTCTTCCACAGTTGCATGAAGCAGGACCTCAGCGACCGTGAGATTCCCCTGGAAGATGCTGAGCATTCGTCGTTCATGCAGCACATCACGCTGAGGGAGCGTGAGGGCCACGTGCTGCCCTTCTCACTGCCTGTCAAGGAAGGTAACGGCAATATTCCATGCACATGCCAAGATGGAATTTTTGGGGTCGTATTCTTCAGGTAGTAAATGAAGTAGCTTGAAGAACCAAACGGGAATTTTGGAGAGAAAATTAATAATAATTGGGGCAGTGGTACGTGGCTAAGTGGGTTTGGACACCATGCCTGTGATCAGAAGGCCACCGGTTCAAATCCCAGGGCCCTTAAACTCTAATTTCTCCATAGACTGGCTGACCCTGCTTACTGAGAAAAATCTATGTCCTTTTGGATTAAAGCATCTGCTAAATAAATAGATAAAAAATGAAAAAATCCAGCTTTTATCTTAATCTGTTGGTGACGTAAATTTGATTTTGACTCCTGGTGACCATTTAGACAGTATCTTCCCGAATATTCTGTATGGCTTCCACGTGGCATGTTCATTGTTGCACTAATGAACAAGATGAACACTCAACTCCAGACCAAAATAGCTAACCTATATCCGGAAGCCTTCTTAATTATTAAGAGAACAGCATGCTAACTCTTCCAAGCTGATTTACCTGCCTGTTAACACTTAACTCTGATGACATGGCCTTAATTTTCTCCAGAGGCTTGTGAGAAGCTTGGGGGAAGTCTGGACATGACGGCAGCATTGCACACCATGGGGAGCAGCAAGGATGTGACAGGATCCTCCAGCACCCTGCAGGTAATGTCTGTAGTCTAGAAGTCTGATGGCGATTGCGAATCACACCATGTGTCCGACACTGGAGCACTGGCTTGCTCTCTTTATTACGCTCTGGTTCGGGGCTGCAGAGTGTCAGCAACATGGGTCTGGCTGAAGAGGGTGCCGTCGCAGAGAAGAACGAGACCCCGTCTCCACAGTGGAAGTGTTACGCCAAGTACGTCAACGCCCATCAGATCTTCCTCACCTTCCTTCCTGCCACCTTTGCAGGTAAAAAGCAATTCCTATAATTCTCCTTCCTCTTAGAATAAAAAATATAGACATGCATTTTTTTCCTTTAGTGCATAGAAGAAGCTGTTTGGTAGCATGCATATCTTCTGTAACTGTTTGTGCCGCACTGGGTCTTAGTGACCCTGGAGCCTTCTGTAGAAAATACAGGACACAGCTCATTTACAGCTGTTATAGAGGAGACTCTATAACCCTGTGCTCGGCGAATTTTATCGCCATGAGTGAAGAATGCTGGAATATCAAAATACCAAATATCAAATTCCATACAATAATTTCTGGACAGTATGAAAAATTAGATATGCAGGTACCTCCACGCCTCCTTATACAGTTGCTCACCATAACTACTACAACAACAACAACTGTACTTCCTTTCATTTTTCTTGGTTGACCGCTGCTCTGTGAAAAGCAGTGCTGCCACCTACTGGAAACATCTAGCCAGTTTCCTTACACGTATGCAGTTCACACGCACTGACACACATGATATCCACTGGACAAAAAAAACTGGACTACAAGTGCACCACCCAGCACAAACCCCTAATGACAGTTTACATCACTCACCCTTGTGTGGATCGGAAGCACATGCAGAATTGTGACGTACGAAGTGGCCTTTAGTAATCTCCACCACATATGCAGCTTTACTCCCCCACAAAAATTCTTTTACTGATTCTCATTTTATTTCACATATTTTTGTGACACACACTTATCTTGTGAAGTACAAGCCTAAGCCTCTGTCCAACATTCAAACAATATTTTCTCTGTTCCAAGCCTCATAACTCCCTTAACAACCGTTTTTCTTACTCTTGTCGAAATTCCATTATCATAACACACACACTCACGCTATGGGAAATCTTAGATGCCCCTTTTCCAAACCATATGGTTTTGGATGGTCTTAGGAAACCCTGTGTAACACTTCATGTGTGTACAACACACACACACAGACACACACACATTTGTATTCATATCTTTGTGGGGACTCTCCACTCAATTCTGTGGGAAAAATCCAAATCACAGGAATTACTTTTGGCTGTTTTAGTTTTTTGATTGCAGTCACAATTTTTATGAAACTGAGTTTCCAATGTTTCCAATGTTTGGTATATACTTGAAGAATTTAATTAGCAAATTATGAATGAGTATGCTTAAGAGTACATTTCAGCATATTAAAAGAATTTTTAAAAATATAATTTTCAAATAAAAAAAGAGGAGAGAAGAGATGCTTTTAATTATATTGAATGTAACATTGGCTTCTTTGAATGCAGGACTCCCTTTTTGAACGTGTTCTTTCAGATATCGAGGTTCTGATGGAGTCTGGTCAGGATAGAGAGTCCCAGGACCAGTGTGGCCTGCAGGAGGACGAGGACACGCTCAGGGACAACAGCAGCAGCAACGAGCCGGAGGCGGGCGAGTCGGGTACGGATGCGGGGCAGAGCTCAGCGAGGAGCGATGCTGGCAGCCGGCCCCTCAGTCCGGACCCGGTGTCTCAGTGCACCCTGCCAGAAATCTCCACCGGGGAGAGCAAGGACTGGGCCAACCTGGCGACCGAGCGGGACGGGGGGGGCTCCGAACAAGGTGAGACCTTGGTGCTGATGTTTCTGCGCTGAATACCATACCTGGCTCCTAGCTTTATGTTGTCCACTGAATGAATGGGATAATCGCTATGGGCCCAGGGGTGGGACTTCAGAGGTCCTGACCACCACTGAAAGCAGATTGGCCTCTGGATTGCACCCCTCCCTCCCCACGTTAATCACTGATTCGACTGTGTCACTGGCTAATGATACGGCTATAGCCTCTACACCTAAAAACCAACCAACCAAGGATGATCCACTTGTGGCCACTCGTTCCTTAAATCCCAGGTGTGGAGGAAAAGGACGGTGTCCAGTTTACGGAGCCTAACAAACGGGACCTCCACATCACCTTCAGCCGACAGGTCTCTCAGCAGAGTGCTGGGAATCTCGCCCGGCCGCGCTGCCCCATCTACATCTACAACTGCTCTCTGGAGTCCCTCAGGGAGCAGCTGGTGCATCCCAATGCCAACAGACAGCCTCGGGACATCTTCTTCAGGTACGCCACTCTTCTCCTGCACCTTGGGGACATTTCATACCCGATATCTGCTCCTCTAGCCTTAGTCTCCTCAAGTTCTACTAACAAAAGTTAATGAGCGGTTGCGGCATCAGGCTAAGTGTCACGTGACAGTGATCCACCTTGAGACGTGTCATATAGTTTCCATGGAAACCCTGTATCCACCTATTACCCCCTCAAACCTCCATAAACAGTTAGTGTCCTGTTATTGGATATAGTATCCTGGTAATAGTGATACGTTGTACTAATGTGTGTTCAGTCAATCAGTCTATCAACAATGTATTTATGAAGCACATTTAAAACAGGTTGATCGAAGTGCTGCACAAACTGAAACAAATCTAACTAATAGAAAGAGTAACAAAAACATAATAAATAATCTGCAAGACTAAGAAACTTTTTTGATCCTAGGGGAAAATTTCAGAGGTAAGAGGTCAGACACGAGAAACAGACCTCAAGAAATTAGACCCAACGAAATGCTTGACAGACCCTCATGCTAATGTAAAGCCATGGAGAATAGATGAGTTTTCAGTCTGGATGTGAAAGTGCTCATAGTGGGTGCAGTCCTGAAGTGAGGGGGTGTTTCACTAATATGTGTTATTCTGATTGTTTTTCTGGTTGAGAATAGACCTCAAGATGCAGACTCCTGGGAGATGTATCAGCTTAGCAGGTAGCACGAGTGCCTCTATTCTGCTGCTCTTGGGTCACGGTGCTGATCCTCTCTGTCACTGGGTATCGTGGGACAGGACAGGTGTCTTCCCTGCTCCTCTGTATCGCTCTAACTTTGGTGTCTACCTGGCTTCACCCCGTTACGGCTGCTGTGTGACGTTTACGAGCTTTTAATGCCGAGGCTTGCTACCGTTGCCAATGACATCTTGGTTTCACAGGGTCTGTTTGGGATTTTACTCTGACTTCTGGAGGGTATTTGGGACTGGATTGGTGGTGTCTGCAGAGCCATTCTTTTATTGGTGCTTTTGGGATTAATAAAAGATTATTGTAATCCCCTGATGGGGAACATATATGGATTTGCGACTGGTCCACTCTTTTTTTTCGCATGTGTTTGATGGAACTTTTTCAAGCTTTGCAGGCACATTATATGAGCGAAGATCTGGAACTCGAGACAAATGGCACCAAGATTTAAAGAGCGGCACATAGTGGTAGCGCATGAAAGGACAGCCACAAATGCAGATCTGGTGTACCTAGTAGATTGTGCCTAGTCACACAATGTTGGACTTTTAATTGTGATTTTGTTGGAGGGGTGGGGAGAGTGTGTAGGGGGCAAGGGATTGTAGAGTATGGGGGCTATGGGAGAAGTAGGGATTAGATGTGGGGAGGGGTGACTGGGCTGTCTGGGGAAAACATTGTTGTCGTTCCAGCAGCTTCGGGTTAATATCTATAAGTGTGTCCTCTTTACGCATATTTGATTCACAAACATTCATATGGTGTGTTTTTATATTTTAGGTGACTCAAAAAAAAAAAAAAAAAAATATATATATATATATATATACATATACAGTATATACATATATATATATATATATATATATATATATATTTTTTTTACTTTTTAGCACAACATTTAAGTAAATTTGTTTTTCTAATCAAGATTTTGTTAATGTCATCATTGCACTAATATCTCTTGCGCTGGCTGCATTTCCCTGGTCGACAATAGATGTCACTGGTGCTTTTGTTGACTGGATATTTTCTACGCAAATGTTTGGGGTCGCTATGCTTGAAAAAGCAATGTCTGCTCTCTCCAGCTTTGCAGCTTTGACTGCTGACACGATAAGCTTCCTTCTCGGGTCCTACAAGGGTCCTACGGGTAGATCTCAGCAGTGCCTGTTCAAAACTTCCACCCTGCTCGTAACAGTGCTTGGAGATGGTTTGTGGGGGTCTCGTTTTTTCTTCTTGCAGGGCCCCATCTCAGGAACGCAGCAGCACCTCCTCCTGGACGGAGCTCATGGCGCACCCACACAAGCACAAGGAGCTGGCTGGCTACTGCAGTCTGCTGCAGGAGCATTTTCATCAGTGCTACGTTAAAGGTCCGTCTCTGGCTTCAGCCACCTGTCTGTCACAGTGGCATCAAGGGGTCAGGGGTCACAGGTAGAAATATAATGGGGACTGTGTCAAAATAAGATGCCTTATTGATCCCAAAGGAAAATTCTTTAAGGATCTCACTATCCATCTCTCCATCTATCTTCCAGCTGTTTATATAACTGCTTGTACTTGTCCAAAAGAATGACACAGGTCAGTTGACTGCTCAGTGTAGCAGCAAATGGCTACAGAACTGGGCACAGTGAAGATAGTATCTAAAGTCACTGAAGTACATCATGAAACTACAGACACTAGGATGTGGATGCAGTAACCAAGTACAAGGGCAACCTGAAATAACCTAGGAGATACCAGCTAGCATAGGAGGTGTTCAGCTCAAGTGGGACACCAAAAAGATCAGTCTTTGGGCCAGATTAAATAATGAATTAAAAACATGTCATGGGTCGTATGAAACAGTGTTGCAGGCCAGTACGTTGAGACCTTGGGTCTAACCAATGGTCAATACAAAACTCAAGGGAATAAGCGTGTAGGCGTATTTGATGACTGGTGATTACACTGGAAAGGACTTTTCTCCTGTCTCAATGATGGTTTTGCGCCCCCTTCAGGCGTGTACCACAGCCTGCAGCAGTCGCACCCCATCAGTTCCCAGGACGTCCTCACGGCCATGGACTACTGCGAGGAATCCCTGCAGGAGATCGACATCACCTCCTTCCTGCAGACGCTCTGTGGACACGTGCATCTCTTCCGGGAGCAGCACGACAAGGCAGCCCGGGCAGGGGTCCTGGGCCTCAGCCGAACCTCAGCCACGTTCACCATCGGGGACGCAGAGGACGAGGGGGGCTCTGAGAGGCCGCCGCTGGCGTCCTTCTCCAGGTACGAGCCAGCCGGTCCCCCACAAATATTATCTGTCCATTTGTGTTTTACTCTCAATTCACCATTCATTTAAATCAGATGAGATGGTTAAGGTGGGGGGGGGGCATAAGAGGGGCTATAATTCATACAGAGGCACTTACCCTATTAGCCAATGATATGTTTTGAATTGGTGAGTGACGGGGGAAGGAGCACTCCAGGGGCCAATCAGCTTTCAGCTGGGACCAGTAACCCTGTGCCCCCACCCCTGTTTTAATGCCAGTATACGTGATAACAAAAGTCGACATTTAAATGAATTTGGTGATGATTTTAAATATTCCTCATCTGGTATTTCTCACATTGCCGGTCAACACTGTGATCTCAATCTTGCATTATATCTCACTTTCGTACAGTTAAGTATTTTCAAATGCAGAGTATTTAATGATCATACCCAGTCTGACATTGTTTAAGCTCCCTGTCTCCCAAGCTTGAGTTTGCATATAGCTCAGCTGTTACTCTGGCTGATGGTCCAATATCGGTCTTCACATTTAACCCACGGGTAAAGGTTAGTTGAGCTAAATCTGTTCAGCCTCAAGCAAAGGAGACTGAGGGGGCACATGATCCAGGTCTATAAGATTCTAACAGGTTTGGATGCTGTTCAACCAAATAGTTACTTCAGCATTAGTTAAAATACAAGAACTCGTGGCCATAGGTGGAAATTAGCGGGAGAACATTTCAAACTGGGTTTAAGGAAGCACTTCTTTACACAGCATGTAGTCAGAATATGGAATAGTCTTCCTGATAACGTAGTGCAAGCTGAATCCTTGGGTTCCTTTAAATCAGAGCTAGATAAGATTTGAACAACTCTATTAGTTAAGTTCTCCCCAAGCGAGCTCGATGGGCCGAATGGCCTCCTCTCGTTTGTATAGTTCTTATGTTCTTATGGGTCTTTATTGGGTCCCAAACTAGGCTCTTTGCCCCATAAAGCCTAACCCTAGCCTGCTAGCTGCCTTCACTTGCCCAGAGCGTACCCATGGCCCCAGCAGAACTCATGCTCCATGCAGGCTTGCCAGTTCCTTGTTTTCTCCAAAGCTAATCACGCCTTGCCATTTTGGTCCCCATAACAGCCTGGTAGTAAAACAGCCAAATTACAGATATTATTCCCCATGTTTCTATGTGACATTTCCAGGCATTTACATATTAAGCAAACTACACATTTATTTGTTTGGCAGACACTTATCTGTAGTGACATATAACTGAATAAGCCGGATCAGCCAGTTCCCAGAACAGTTGGGGTTTAAGTACCACAGGATTCAAACCAACCTAATGTCCTCACCCGCTGAGCCATACGGTTTGCCCTCAAACCCTGTCATTCCGTATGTTCCCTCATGGTCTTTTTAAATGTGCAGGTTTTCTGGTCTTTGCTCACACTTGCGCCACATGGTTTTTGCATAACGGACTGAAGACTTTCCAGCCACGCAGACCGATGCTGACCTGCTGTCCCTTGTTCTCACAGCGTGGACACAGAAGACGTCAGCGAGGCCGAGTCCAGGGGGAAGCCCTCAGCTCCCACATCGCCCCTGGCAACCGAAGCGCCCAAAATCTACAGGATCTACCCAGAATTCCCTCTGTCTCTGTTACAGGCGCAGCAGAACTGTGAGATGTATCCCAACCTGCACAAAATTATACAGGTAACATCACAAGATTAAGACAGAATTTTATTGATCCTTGTGGAGGGAAATTTCTTTCTTTGTCTGGCATAAAGAGGAAACGAAACAAAGGATGAAAGAAATAAATATAGAAGGATAACACAAGTAAGAAATGCATAAAGGATGAACATTAATAAACATAAAAGTAATAAATAAATAAAAAAAATAATAAGACATATGTGAAAAAAACGTACCTCTGTGGTAAATACAGTGCAAAATGTCTTTCGTGGAAATGGCATGTGTTCCTGTAATATCCGCTTAGCATTGCAGTGCTGTTAACAGAAGCAGCATTGCATGTTCGTTATGGCAGTATGGAGTAAGGAGAGGTTTCAGGCAGTTTAGGTTTTATAGTAAAACTTTTGCATGGGACAAACCATTTTAGAGACGTTTGCAAATTGTTACATTTACTTTGGCTTTTGGGGTGAAAATACAGTGTCCTGTGTCATTGATTGACAGGACAAATTTCTGGAAATCGGTGCTCGCTACTTCAAGATGGTCCCTTCAAACCCCCATTACTTTTTTTACTGCTCACCTTCAGCAAAGAGAGAGGTAAGCGTGGCTCTTTATTGTACATAGCAGGGGTTTCCCACCTTAAACCAGGAAGATGGACTGACTGACCCACCGACCGACCGACCCACCCACTCACTCACTCACTCACTCACTCAATTGTCCTATAAGGATATTTGTCTTCACAGTCTGTTCCAATACAAACACAAGTATATTACAGGCCTCTAACATGTCAAACATGTTAGGCACAGATACATGAGCTCCAAAAGAAGACAAAGCAGTGCTTGGGACCTCCACCCCCTGAAATGTAATGACATAAGCCCTTTGTGAAAGTCCGATGACATTCTTTTACTAGATGGATAGATAGTAGGGCTTTGAATTGATAAAAAAAAAAAATAATCACAGATTAATTGCACCTAATATTAAAACTTACAATCATAAATATTTATATGTTGTATCCCTATTTATACATTGAATTTATGTGCAGTTAATACAAATGGGATCATTCTCATGAATCATCACTGTAACTCATCAGTTTTTTCTGATTTTTAAAAATCAGAAATTAGTTTAAATTAGTTGGATGGGAAGATTATAGAACTTAATGGTTTAAACTGTTGATTTTGCCTCTGGGGTAGTTAATCAGTTTTGTTATATTACATGTTATTTCTATAATAATCAAATCTGGGGCAAAAGTTAAATATGAAAATTGAGAGCTTTTTCCACCACTGGTTTCTATATGTTTATGCACGTTTCTGCGGACGTCCCAACCTGCCGACCGGGCCTGAAGACTGAATTTTCCTGTGGTGATGACTTTTTCAGGAGGACTCAGATCAAGAGGAGGAGAGGAGGCCCAGTGAGGAGGTCGAGGTCTCGGAGGCTGAACTTGCGACTGAGGATGGTGAGGGACTGACCCGATGCCGGCAGCGTCTAAACCAGGGCTACTCAGTTATTTTACCCTGAGGCCTTATCATCAGTCACACTTGCACGGTTCGGCCTTGTCCAGATGTGGATTGGATTCCACCATTTGAGTGCCCCTGGACACACAATGAAATTTTTAGTTTGTTCACTCTTCCACATGCTACAAAAAAAGAAAATTAAACTAAAAATAATAGGACAGCAGACAAGCATATAAAACATATATCTACCACAGATAAAAATATTAAAGGAAAAAATAAATGTAGCTGACAATGTAAAATGTATTTGCATTTGAAATGCATTTGAATATCGGTCAGGAATGTGCAGCATGAAGTGGCTGGTTCTTACCAGTCCAGTATAAAACGTATGTAAAAAATGTGTTTTGTAGAGGTGCGTTTTTCTTGGAGTGTGTGGTGATCAGCGTGTCTTGCCATGCCTGCTGTGTCATCCTGTCTGGCAGAGAACGTGTCTGGATGCTGCATCGTCACCGAGAGCGACACAGACATGGAGGTGGAGTACCGAGAGCAGGCTGACAGGCGTTTCCCGGACAACGACTCCGTATCGGACTCGAACACGGTGAACCAGGAAGACGACTCCTTCAGCATCCTGGACGGGGACTCCTTGCTGGAGGCGGAGGGGCCGCAGCCGGAGTTGCCCCCACTCTTCATCCACCTCACCTGCTCCATCAACCTGAAGAGCTGCCATGGCTCCATGCCCATAGAGACGCTGCCCACCTGTCTGGGTGAGATGCTGCTTCCCTGCCATGATGGTGCTGAGCTTGGTTCACGACACATGGTTCATAATGCTGCTATTGACCAGATGAACTTGCATTTGTCTTAATACATTCATATATCTTCTATAACCTAGGGATCTCAAAGCACTGACCTGCAAGACGGTTCTATCTCACCTGTGACATTTTTGCCATCATTATTAAATGCTCTATTGATTGTTTTCCAATGTAAAAGCATTCCACTAATGAGTCATTTGTAAAAATTGCTGGCACTAAGCTCAGAGAATTTTACTGTTACCTCCGATTGACAAATTTTATTGCTTCTTAAAAAAAACATTGCAAACATTCAATAGCCCATTGTAAACATTCATGCTGTCAACTAGGCATAAGTGCAACTAGGCTGAGCTTACAATGAATGCCCAGGTAAACATGCCAAGTGTGAGCAGTTACGCTGAACCGCCTCTGCATGTGTGTGTAAACACTGGCATGTTTTCATGTTTTCATGCTGCAGGTGAGGTCATTTCCTGCCTGGAGAATGCCGAGTCGCTCCAGTCAGTGGATCTGAGCGACTTATCGGTCACATTGGACGTCTTTGTTCTGACCCTGCCCCTGGACCTCGAGGTCATGTCATCCGAGTTTCACCATAATAGGTAAGAAACTGGCCTTTGTTGATGCTATATTTATACCCGAACATTTATGGTATTTCCTGCATGGGTAATGCATATGGTTTTGGGACTATTGTGCTGCTGCAGACATTTGTTCCGTTAGCATGATTCCGTTAGCAGAACTCAAAAAGTATTTACCAGATCTTTTTTAACCTTTGCAGATACATTGTAAAGGTGAAGATATGGAACCCATTCAAATTTGAGACATATTGTACCAAAACTGATGCAGTGCTTCAAAGAGATAGAAAGAACAACAGCTTCAGAGATTTGAGCAGCATAACTCAAAAATATTTTTTTTTTGTGATCAAATTCTTGTTAAAGAAAAATCACAGGAATGGAACAAAAACTTACCATCGTGTACAACAACAAACACCACCCCCCTACCAGTACCCACCCCCCAACATTCAAATAGTATTTAATGGATCTTCTTAAAATTTTAAAAACAATGTCGTTACAACAGCATCTAGTTATCATACTTACACTGTGACTGGACAAAGGCATAAAACGGACAAGTATGGCGGTCATAAACGAGAATAATTTGAAGCACTAAAAAAAGAATAAGGGACAAACGCATCTAGACAGATGTAATGATTTGCTTCGGATCTGCAGCTGAGTTCATGTGTATTTGCAGGTACGCCTCAGAGAGCAGCGTCTCCCTGAACCGATCCCCCGCCCAGCCCTCCTCCTACCACTCCGACGAAGAACTGATGAGGACTCTGGATGGTCTTAATGGGGTTGGAATGGATGGGTTAGTTTCAGCCTTAATCACATTAAGGGTTGAGGAATCACTCGTGGATGCCAACCATGTCTGGAACAGATGAGTAAATCAGAGTGAATCATGTTGATGAATTTTCAGTATGCTGTATACATAGGCAAAACACTGTTACTGCATATGAGTTTAGGCTGAAATTGGGTCTCTCAGGCTGTGCTCAGTATGACAATTATTCCTTCATGATCATTTACCTACCTACTACTCATATGGGTGAGAGTCAAAAAGCTCACTTTTAAACTTCTGAGTTTGTGTCAGCGTAGTTACTGTGTTTTGCCAGCGGAGGGCAGTATACAGGGCATGTGATGAATCTTGTTCTCCTCAGGGTTTCAGGGGATCCTTTGGCCAAACTCCCGGTTCCCCACAAGATGGCCGTTTTGGCCACCATGGACGAGGTGAATGGGGATTTTCGCATGCAGTATGTTCAAGATGCAGCAGTTAATGTGCTTGGAGTGAATGTGAAGGGGGGTGTGTTAAACAGCCGCTTTTGAGAAGGATTAATTGAGAGTTAGGCGTAGTGCAACAATCATGCCAGTGGGATATATCTCTAACTGGTTCAAACATGGTTATTACCTCAAAAAGAATATTTCTGCTTTAGAAAAAGTTCTAGAAAAAGCAGCTACATAAACGTGTCATGGTTCTATAAGGTCATCTTACAACGGTGGGTGATAAGGATTAAGTCAATAACCTAAGCATACATAAATATGCTTAGGTTATTATTTTAGCTAGTGAGTGAGATTAACCATCCAGCAAGCTTGTCCGCCATTATCACATGATACTTTAACAGCATATATGTCCAGTAGCACCACTGCTGTTATCACTCATTAAACAAAACCACCAGACTGTCACAAATGAAACCCACACCAAGCCAGGTTCAGTGTCAGTGACCATATTAGCAATGTGATCTCCAAGCTATATGCATTTCTATCCATAGAGATGTATGATCCAACCCATGTTTGTTGGATCTTTGAGGTGGAAATTCCAGCCTCGATTCCCGTCACTTGGTTCTCCTTCTCCTGCGTAGATCCGTTGGCTCTTGGAGGACGAGATCGTTTCTGCCTTGCGCCACTCGGGGGCGATCACCACGGTAGTTCTGCAGAAGGTGGCGGAACACATATGTCGCTCAGATGACCGGCCCCAGTGCCACTCCCAGGAGGTGCCCCTGCAGTTTGTCTTTGGGCCTGAGCAGTCCCTCGAGAACTTCAAGGAGGTAGGCAAAGGTTGACAAGAGTCCCCGCTAAGTTGTTTTTATTCATTTTTTGTCCTGGCATAAGGTCAACCTTAGCATGGAAAAAAAGTTGTGTGGACAGGGAGAGAGAGGTAAGGTAAGGAGCCCATGCTGATACAGTGCATTGCCACGTCCACCACACGACGAAACCACCTCAGGGACGAGAACCTGAGTGCAGCCACGCGGCAGATGATACCTCAGCGCCACACCAGTTCGAATGGAATGGAGCAGTGTAAAGTTTTTTTTCCAGTGTTTGGAGTGCCAATCCTGCCACCAGCCCCCAAATTTTCCCTATAAGTTGGAGGAACTGCAAGCAGGGTTGGATGTAGATTAACGTCACATGCAGGACAAAGCAATTGCAGGTTAAGGGCCTTGCTCAAGGGCCCAAGGAAGTAGAATCACTCCTGGCTTTCAAGGGATTCAAACTGGTAGCCTGCTGACTGCCAGCACAGATTCCTACCTTCAGAGGCACCACTCTGCACTATTTTTAAAATGTTTCTATATGTCATAGTTAGTTTTATTCTTAATTACTGTTTCAATATATACACAAATTCCATAATGTAAAAATGTGACATCCAAAAACAAATATTTTCAAATATGTACTTTTTGTGTTCATTCAAATCTCACGTTGCACATATTATACTTTCAGCAGTTGGCTTTAAAATTCAGTCTGTAGAAAATTTGTAGTCTCCTATAAAAGTCTGTCCAATGCCATATCCACAACGCTGACAAAATGCTATTTATTTCTAATATGTAAATTACTACATTTAATTTTGAGGATTTGTCTATACAAATTGACTGATACTAAGCTAATCTGATTTTGTTTGTCAATATGAGTCTAAATGTCACATCTGTAATGCCCAATAGTATTAGCTAGAATGTGCTCACAACTCGTTTTGATGGTTTCTATCTTCTGGCTAGGAATTCCGGAGGATGTCCCTCACAGGCTACCTTCTAAACGAGAATCTGGATAACTTTTACTACGTGTCGGTGAGCCGCCTCCACTCCCAGACACTGAAAGCCGCGAACAGCGCGGCCAAGTGTGTCCCTGACGCTCAGGAAGTGGTCGACAAGGCCCCAGAGCACGCTGGCCACTGTGGAGAACCGGAAGACTCTACCAGGGTGCTTTCCGGTCATCCTTCAGCTGCCAAGAGCCTCGATAGGCAAGCAGAGATGGAGAAAATGGAGCCGAACACTGCGGTTAGCTTCATCAGATTCTGTCTCGTTTGCAAAGTGGAGGGTGATGTGTGGCTCAGTGGGTATTTGCGACTGGAATTTCGCCGGTTCAGATCCTAGGATTGACAGAGTGATTTCAAGGCGCTTAACCCTCAGGGACTCTAAGAACTGGCTGCCCCTGTTCTCTCTCAAAACTGTGCAGCTTTGTATAAAAGTGTCTGCAAAAATAATAGTAATACTGTGTCTGTTTTGTGTGGCTGGTTGTTATGTTATGTTTTTATTTAATAAGAATAAAATAACAAGCGTGCGTTCTGTCCTCCATTGTGTTTAGGATGCCGTAGGCCCTGGGCTTGAACCGGAATGCGCGTCGGTTTCAGAGATGCCAGTCTCCACTCTGGATCGAGACGAGGCCAAAGCGCAGAGCTCCGCCAGTGGTGGTGGTGCTGGAGACAGACCACTGGCCGGCGCAGTGCAGCTGCAGCCCAGCGGCAGTGTGGAGGGCTCCTCGGAGCATGTCTCACCCCCCAAGACCCCCTCTGCCGTCAGCCTGACGGAGTCCATGCAGTCTGCCACCCACAGTGAGTTCCCAGCATTTCAGTAAAGGACGTCACGCCGTTGTCATGGGTGTCATGTGACAGGTTGTTTTCAAGAGTCTGTTTTCAAGTGGAGTCTGTTTGTACACGAGTCTGTGCAGCATAATCACGGTCTTCTGATGGAAAGCTAAGTTACCGTTCTCTCACACGTTTCCACTTTAAATGTGAGGATTCCCCTGTATGCCCGTGTCAAAGGCCTTTGTCGCTTAATCACATTTTAATGTGTTGTTTCTCTTTCAATTCTATTAGGCAAATGTATCTTACAGTCAATACATTTTTTTAACTAAAGCCAGTGTAAAGTACTGTTATTTAACTGTCAGCTAATGTCTTTAATACTACAGTGTGTTTTAACTGTTTATCTTCTCAGGTGAACTATTCATCTGTCCATCATAACCTTTAAGATTAAGATTGATGCATATATTTTTTTTTAGGTAGCTGCAAGCTGAGACCAAGTCGGGTGCAGAGTGTCGTGTCCAGTCAAGGCAGCCTGGATTCTGACATGCTGGGTATGGATCACATCATTGGACTTTTTTATTTTACCTGAAGCTATTGATCTGATGAACCGATTTAACTTGAATTTCACTAGTCAGGAACTCAGTGTGTCAAAATGCATTGTGTCAGATGTCAAATCCCAATTTGTGAAAATGAGTTTTTTGTTTTGTTTTAAATAACCTTTTAGAGGCTCTCAGAGCTGTGGTCCACGAGACAGTCGTACCTGGCCTGCAGCTTGTTTTTTAATTGTTATTAAGTCTGGCCCACCTCCTGATTTTTTTATTTTTTTTTCCCCAGAGAAAATAAAAAAAAAAATCTATGTAATCACATTCTGCAAATCGGCAGCAGTAAAATTGTGTAAAATTAATGTCAGCATCAAGCTATGTAAGTGGCCGCTTGTGCTAGCTAATGGCTTCCAGGTCATTCGAGTTCCAGATCCTCGATTTAGACTGAGTTCAGCACGACTCCTTTGTAACGTAACCCTGTCCTCCTCCAGGCTATGACGGGGGTAGCAGTGATTCTGAATGCGAAGGTCCCACCATGGACGAGCAGGAGCCCCAGTGTCCCATCATGCCTGACTTCTGGCTGATAGTCAAGATCTGCCAGGACAAAGTGGTGGTGTACTCCCACTCCAGGTACGTCCAACACCGCCTGAGCGTGCAGCTCATTCACTGATTATTCAAGGAGGATGGCACAGTTACACCTCTGGAAGGCTTGGTTACCCCCCTCCCAGCTCTATGTGTGTGTGGAGTTTGCATGTTCTGCCTTTGTCACTGTTGGATTTCCTGGGTTCTCTTTTTTCCCCCCATCTTCCAAAAATATGGCGTTGTTAAATGGAGTTGCCACAATTTGTCCATAGGTGCCCAATTAATTCCCCGCCTTGCGTCCATTGTTTCTGGGAGAGTTCCTGGACCCCTGTCACCCTGTGTAGGAGAAGCAGCATAGAAGATTAATGTATTTTTTCTCTTTGGTTCTACCTTGTTCTTCTAGAAGTTTAAATGGCAACAATGAGGAAATGATTGGAGATTCAGAGAAGGATGAGACCAAATTGCCCGAGTATCTAAAACTGCACCAGGCGCTTGTGCGGAAGGTTGGGGAGATCTGTCGCCTTGTCAACCAGGTACGTCTGCACTTCCAATTCCCAACCGCCACTTCCTGTAATCCCTCTCCTTTCGTCCGGCCAATCAGACTGTCCCCTGCTTCCTTCAGCGTCTCCTGCTGCAGGACCTTCATGACAGCCATTCGTGCAACTCGCTGCTGGTGGCCGAGAGCGAGGAGGACATCTGGAAGAATGAATCCATGTACAGGCAGAGGACGGCCAATCCTGACGGTCAGCCCTTGAAATTAGATGAACTTTATATGCAATTCAAGGTGTTTTATCTGCTGCAGTGAAATCTAGCGGTATAAATGAATGGATATAAGCTATATCAGAAACATATGAGCTATACAAAGTCAAAGTATCTTTACTGTTAGCTTCACATATATGATGCTTGGGTCATACCATAAGCAGTTCATAAGTCCCTGATTTTTTTTGTCTGAGCTCATTTTTTAAATTTAATTGAGCCCCCCTGGCAAAATTAACCTTGGTGTCCTGTATTTATTCAGTGGGCTGAGCCCCCCTTAGGATCAAATTCCAGCATCGCCCTTGGGTAATGCTAAGGTGGAATACTGTTCTCTCTGGTCATAGTGCAAATGAAAAGTAATAAGAATATATATTGAGCCATATAAACCTATTATATATTTTATTTATTGTTTTTTATTTGCAGTATGATGAGTTGCCTTGGATAAATAGATTGATTAATTGATCTGTTAGCTTCCTGAAACACTCAGCGTCTCAGTAGTGTGAGGCGTTTGGTGTTGTGTTGACGTGGCACCCCCTATCTTGGTGTCATGTTGACGTGGCACCCCCTATCTCGGTGTCGTGTTGACGTGGCACCCCCTATCTCGGTGTCGTGTTGACGTGGCACCCCCTATCTTGGTGTTATGTTGACGTGGCACCCCCTATCTTGGTGTCATGTTGACGTGGCACCCCTTATCTCGCAGACTACTCCGCCGAGGAGATCTACCAGCCCAGGAATTACCTGGCCGCGACCATGCAGTTCATCCCTGGGCACTTCGCCTGCGACGTGGTGTGGAGCACCGTTATCCTCATCCACCCCCGGCTCAAGATGGGGCCCAACATGGGCGTTTCCAGGGGTGAGTGCATTATTTACCAGTGCATGTTTTATGAGCTGGATTTCCAGGCTTGCTCAATGTCTGTAGGTCTGACATGTTCCCGTTCTGTTTCGGTTTACTCCCTCCGACAAAAAACATGCCATTCGTTGTCTTTGAGTTTACTGGAGTGAGTGATTAAGTGTGCGTCTGTGTGTGTCTGTGTGTATCCTGTGATGGACTGGAATCTTCAAGGCTCCAGGTTTATCACAGCTCTATAATGAATAAGCTGCATGGATGGATGGATGAATTGACTGGTGCTTATGTTATGCCAGCTTCCTTAGTGAGGTTCGATGATGCGCTCCTTCTGTCAGCTCTCTCTTCAGCAGGCTTCTCCTCCCTCTTTTTCAGCGATCCAAGCCCTTCGCTCGGTGCTCAGCGCCTTCTCCGTGGTCAACAGGAAGAACATGTTTGTCTACCAGGAACGCTCCACCAAGTCAGTCTTCTACCTCCGGTAAGGCCCCCGGCTCCTGTCACCTTCTGTAGGGCTTAGCGTTCCTGATCTGAGCTAAGCCCTGGTCCTCTTCCTCGCATTCAGACTCTCTGAGACTCCGCAGAGTGGAAAGTTCTCTGACTTGGAGGCCAATCCCCTGCACGTGTCCCGTTCTGTGGGACTCGCCCGCAGCCAGGAACCCATCTACTCAGATGAACTCGCGGTAACACGTTTTTATATTTAAACATGAGTATAGAAAACATTGTTTTTGGAGATTCATCAGTGCTGGGAGGAAATTTAGATCTATTTCAGTGGATATGAAGGCTTACTGGTCAATCAGTTTTTAGTCATTGGGATGACCTCTCAATCCAATAATAAAGCAACCCTGGGGAGCCACTGTTATTGGCTGACTGAGAGGTCATCCCAAGAACCCACACCCACACCGGACCTCCGTGGATCGGGTTCCCTACACCTAATTTAATAGCATTGTCTAAATCAGTTTGCATACATGATGGTGATTTCTACTTGAATGCTGAGTTTTTTTCTCTGTCCTTCAGGGCTCCCATTCCTCTCTGGAAGGTTCTCGCCCCGTGGGCCAGGTGGACAAGCACATCCTGCTGCTGGTTCATGGTGTTGGCCAGGCTGGTAAGATCCTCCCTGAATCGCAGCTTCCCTTGAGTGAACCTCAAGCTAAAGTACAGTGGTACCTCAGTTCTCGAACTCATTAGAACTCGAATTTCTTAAAAGTCGAACCAACCAGTTCGAAAATAAATTACTTAGAACTCGATCTGAATCTCAGAAGTCAAACCGTGAACGCCGACCTAAGATAACTTGTACGCGCGGGGAAATGAGTCACGCGGCACGTCTCTCAGCGGAAACAATGGGTAACGCTTCAGTCTCAGCCTCGCATTCGCTGTGATAGCATCGTGAATGTTTACACTAGCTGAATACATGTATTTAGACAGTAAAAATACATTTAGTCAATGATAGACAGTAACAGTAATTATTATTACATAATAAAATACATTTAAAAATAAAGATTTCTTATTATTTTAATATTAATAATAAACCATTAATACATTTAATTATAATAATATCGTCGTGCCAAGCGGGGACGGAATGGAGACAAAGGCGCAGACGTCAGGGTATCGGGGAATACGAGGTTTAATTACAGGTAAGGCAGGCAAAACGCAGACGGACAATACAATGACCGGACTGGGGAAACAAACTGAAACGCGGACTAAATACAGAGGACTAATGACAACAAGCAGAAACAGCTGATCACATGGGGATTCCATACGGGTTAACGAGGGGGCGTGGCACACGGAAGGAGCGGACGTTCGGGGCAGGACACATTATTTTTTTTAACATTTTTGGATACATTTATTTTCTTACTTTACAAATGACTGTTTTGATAAATGTGCTTAGATGTGTTTAGTACAATATATGCTCTTCTTGTTTTATCCGGTTCATTTTGTGTTTAAGTGCTAAAAAAAAATTGGTCGGGAACCAATTAATTGGTTTTCCATTGTTTCTTATTGGGAAAATTTGATCGGAACTCAAACTTTTTAGGATTTGATCCGGAGTTCTGAACGGATTAAGTTCGAGTTCCAAGGTACCACTGTATTCCAATATTCCAATAATCACCAATATCCATAATCCAATAATCAATATTAACATTAACAACTAAGGAAATTCACTAGATTTTTTAACAGATTTTTTAACAAAAAAATTGTTTTTTGTAAATAAACAAAAAAGTAAAACGGTTACCCTGGGGTAATGAGATGTTTTACATCAGTTAGAGAAATCATGACGTTCTCCTTCCTTACACTCAGGTCCGGAGATCACAGATGAGTTAGTCAAGGTGTTACGCAAGCGACTTGATGAAGCTACACTGGATATCATCACTGTCATGCTCGTCCGCAACTGCAAGCTAACCCCAGATGACGTTGAGGTGCTTTGTCGATATTTTTAACTAAATATTATACTCTAAATATGTACCTAATTTTATAATATTGTCTATGATTGTTATGCACGACATTCGAAAGTAAATTCGTTGTATGTATGAAGTAAACAATTTTGATTCTGAAGATGATTTGTTATATTTCAATTTAATTGCTTATCTGATACATGCTTTATTTAGCTTAAATTTATGGGTCTGGGTGAATTCGGTAATGTCACATGGCTGAATGGCACCTGATGAAAATGAAATGCGTACCCCCAGACTGATCTTCAGTTTGGCTGTGTTGTGTAACGGGCTGTGAATTGAGAGGATATCTCAGAGGGGTCCCGTCTGACCCGCTTGGCTTTCTCCTCTCACAGTTCATCCAGCCTCCCGGGTCTCCGGCCACGGAAGTGATGGAGTTCACACTGCCTCCGTACACCCTGTCCTGGATCCAGGCGGTGGCTCACTACCTGCGGCAAAACCTGCTCATCTTCCTGCACATCCCCAAGTACACTGACAGCAATATGGAGCACCACTTCAAGGTAGCTCTGGGTGCCACTTTATCAGATTTCCCAAAGGTTAAAATGATATTTCTCATTATTGGCATGGAACATGTTACGACAACTTTTTAAGCTACTGAAAGCCTATCAATTAATTAGTAAGGGGCTTTGCAAGTCAATGTGAAACCCTGTTATGTTTAAGCAGTCTTAGCTATATTTTGTTAGGTTAATTCCAGTTATTGATCAGATTTCAGATTTGGTCGTAGCTACTTTAGCTACCTTAATACCTACCCAGCTATAGTTTCTCTTTGTCTGTATTTCCCAGCACTACTTTAATTTGAGCAGCGGATTGCCCGACTCTGATATCTACCTCTATAACAAGCCTGGGGGCCAGGGTACAGGTGGAAAAGGTAATAAACTCATTTTTATTAAATAATTTGGGGAAAAATCAGGTTCCTTTCTTGTTCCCTTCATCAGAGCATGGCGATTTGAATATATACTGGTCAGGCATGCATCGATACCAATGCTAATATTACAGAGAGTATTACAGCACCTGTCACGGTTAGCAAGTGTCAGTGAATAACGGTTATACATATATCGTTCAGCTGTATACCTGTGTGTATGTGTGTGTGTTGGATGGGGGGGATATTGATATTATCATTTATCCTGAAATTTTTTAATTATTTTTATTTTTTTATCCTCGCCTAGACCTACTTGATATCACTATCGTTACTCATACTCGGTTTGAGAAAAAAACTTTGTCGATGCATCCTTAATATTAATCTTTAAATTCACTGCTATGTCTTGCATCCTTATAAACTGCCTCGAGAATCTCTCCAGGCCAGAAAAATTGATAAAATTGATCGGACTGGGCCTGAGGGACATTTAGCAATATTTATATTTCTCAAGCAATGCTATATCATTTCTTTGCTTGCTGTAGAAAATCCATTTTTTTCTGCTGGCTGTCTGGAGAGTGTAGGCTAAACCACAAAGTGGCACTTTGTGGCCACCACTGAGGCCACATGCAGTGTTGGGATAGCAGATGGTTAAATGAGGAATTATTTAGCTTCAGACTTTCATGGTAACATGTTTCTTTCCTCTTTTTCCGTGAATAAAATTCAATTTTTTGATTGATTGGATTGAAATAAAACAACCTTTTTTATTTACTTTGTGCTTTGCAGGAATCGCCTGTATTGCCTTATCTTTTGTGGATGCTCAGGGCTGCCCCCTGCAGGTGCCTGCCCAGAATGGCTGTGAACCTGCACAACAGGACATCTCTACAATCACACTTGACCCTGATATATTTGAGACCCTCACTACGGTTGTTAAAATTGATTCCCAAAGTGAACAAACAGGTAGGGCCATGTAAAATTTTATGTAATGTTAAATTCATAGGCTTTTCTTTTGGGCAAAAGTAAGTATTCTTGAGCAGAATTTCTGCGGTAAATTCTGAAAGTACAGAAAAGATATTCTTAATTTTCCTTTCTGAACATTTGTTTTAAATTTTCCTCAAGTGCACAGAAAATATAATTAGTTTAATACCAGTTAACTAAGTCTAGTTTAATCCCAGCTAAGTCTCAGAGAAAAAAATGCCGTACACCTGGATGAGAATGAGTTTAGACTGTTGTTAAAATTTTGTTGTTTGTTCAAAATCTCCCAGAATCACTGTATTTGAGATCCATTACTAAATTTCTTAATTTTCTGAATAGTATTTCACATTTGAGTTTGATCAGTGTCTTTCTGGGAGGCTTACCAGGGAGAGTGAACATTATCTATGTACATGATTAGGCTGGTATTAAGCACAGATCTATCTCTCTTTCACAGAACCACAGATTCGCGTTCGCTTTGACATATGGGAGCAAGGGAACATCAGCTCCCTCCAGTTGGCTGACAAACTGCAGGGAGCTCTCCGCCACGCCCTCTGTGATGTCATAATGGAGCTGAGGGTGTTGCCCAATCCCCTTTGCGTGGAGGCGTGTTCTTTCGCCTTGACGGTGTCACAGAGTCCCATTGAAAGCACTGCTAGTAAGAACCTAGAAACCTGCTGACTTCTGAGTCAGATAGAAAGCTAAACCTTATTTTATCATCTCAGACTATTTTGATTAATTACTAACAGTAGAAAGAACATTTCTTAAACTGGAAAACTATGCCATTTTGTGATCTCTCTGGCTTTCTCCATTGTAGCCCTTCTGAATTCTCAGTCTGGCAGTAAAGAAAAGAAGAACCTTCCTCAGCAGCTTGATTGCCAGGTTATTAAAAATAGCCCCGCACCAATTACTCTGACCCCGGCCCCTGGAACCACCCCAAGCACTGGAACTAGTACCCCAGAATCCACCACACCCACCAGTAAAACCACACGCAGAAGCTTTTGGGAAATATTGGTGAGTGTCGTAATGATCAGTGTATGTTATGCTCAGCATGGATCAACTGACATTCAGCCATCCAGTTCCTTTTTATTTTTCCTTATAAAGACATGATACTGAACAGTGTTGCATTCTATCAAGTACATATTTAATTGTCTTTATTTTTTTGGGATAATGGAGTCATAACATTTATATATACCAAATTTCATGGAATAATTCTTAGATGATGTCTGTATCATCGTTGTTCGATGGAAAAACGTGTATTTCCACACATCCATTAAAAATGCATTTTCTCAAACTACTTTTCAAAATAAAACAAACAATATTACATTGTTTTAGAGACACCCTTAGCACCTCTAATAGAAACCTAACTTTACATAACAGTCATTGAACAGTTTTATGTTTTAAATGGACTTGACTGGATTGTTGACAGGTACTATGTCAGTGTCAACAAGATACAGACTAATCTCACTTTATATTCACAATTAGCAGTAACAATGTTACTAAGCCTGCTATCTAAGTATCATTGTTAAAATTGGCGATATAAAGTAATACACACAAATGACAATCATTAAAACAAATGTTCATAAAACATCTTTTCATTGGTGAATTAGATGTCAAACGGTGTCAGTAGAGGAGAATGACTATTCCATCTATAGTAAAAAATCATAATCGTTAAAAAGTGATCATGAGACAGTGACGATATATCTTTAATAAGAACCGTATGATTAAAATAAATACCAATGCTGGGATATTAAATGTTATTTCTAAAATAATATCTGCGCTACACAATTTGGAGAGGTTGCTTGGAGAGTTCTGGACACAGCACAGCATACGCAGTGTTATTTAATGTTCTGTTTAGGATGATCTGGTACAATGTTCAAGAACAAGCGTAGAGAAGATTTCAGGGTTGAGCAGCTGTGCCCCTACTCCCCCACAGAGCAAGCCAGACCCAGCAGAACTAGGCAGCCCCAAGACCACAGATGACATCGTGCAGGAGCGGGGGGAGGACAGCCGAGCTGCCCGGCGCAGACACAAAACCGAGACTGTCAAGCAGCAGTGGAGCCAGGAGAAGATAGTGGCTGCTGACATGGAGCATGCCCAGAGGTTTGGCGCCCCCTAGAGCCTGGAAGACTGAAGCACTTATGACAGCTAAACCTGAATAAAATAGTACAGTGGGAGGATTTGGTTGTTTTTGAATAACTTCTTTCTTGCCATAATAAAAAATAAATACTGTTAACTACTGCTAATCAGCTGAAAAACTGCTCAATGGTAACACAACCTTTTATGTTTTGGTGCCATTTTGATGCACTGAGAGCAGGGATTTGGGTTAAGGACTGTGTGGGGTGTACCGAGAGGAGGGGTTTGGGTTAGGGACTGTGTGGTGCGTACCGAGAGGAGGGGTTTGGGTTATGGACTGTGTGGGGTGTGTCGAGAGGAGGGGTTTGGGTTAGGGACTGTGTGGTGCGTACCGAGAGGAGGGGTGTGGGTTAGGGACTGTGTGGGGTGTACTGACGTGTGTATTCCTGCAGGAGGCACACAAGCCAGCTGGAGGAGGGGGAGACAGGGGTGCTGCACCCTGTCTACCTGAGCACCTACCAGCCCTGGGTTACCTTCATGGCCCGGCTGGGTGAGTCACTTCCTCCTAGATGGTATTTAGAAGGTCACATTTACATTTTACATTTATCAGATGCTTTGACACAAAACTCCATGCATTTGAGAAGCAGGATCAGTCAGTCCCTGGAGCAGATGGGTGATTCTGACAAACCTGAGGTTTTTTTGGAAAAAAAATCTTAGTTTTTATGTAGCACAACTAACATCAACTTTTTAAATCAACTTTTAGGTAAGTTAAAATTGTCCTTTATTGCTGTCATTTAATGATTTTTTTTTAAACCTGTTTTCCCCCAAATAGGGCACCAAAAACCTCATTATCATAACCATTTTGAGATCAAATAACACAGAACCAGAAACAATGTTTTTAAACCTTTCAACTACAATGTATATTTTTTGCAAATTGTTTTTTTTTTTATTGTTAGTTTTGTCAATTTTTTCTCATCTCCGTAGCTATTGCTCCGGATTTGATTGAACACTTTTGTTTATTATAGATTTAAATGATATTACAATAAAACTGGTTAACTACTAAACCTAACCTTAACCTTAACCCTAACCCTAAAATTGACATTTTAGACAATGACGTTGTATAATTTGAGTTTGTCTTGAAACTAATTAAAAAAAAATAGAGGAAAATGATATGTTATGGTCATGAGAGCCTAATGGTGACATAACTCTGCCGCAGTGGGGTTTGACGTTGCGGTCATGGGCACGGCCTTCTCACCCACCGTGACCGCTTCCTATTGGCTGGCTCTTGTACGCAGGGTGCCCCTCCATCCAGCAGTGTGCAGCTGAGATCGCCTCCTGCTTCCTGCTGCCGTCTCTCCTGGTGGAGATCGTCAACCTCGTCAGCTCGCTGGCCAGCGACACTGTGGTCAAGGTCTTCGAGACCCCAGGGTGAGGCCCATCACATCTGTGCTGAGAAAGAACACAGCGTGTGGCTGGTTTTATGTAATTCATTTTGCAAAATGGAAATTGAATTCTTATAATTTTAACACCCCACTATTTTAAAAATTAAAAAAGAAATCTGACTAATAAATAATATATTTGACAAAAGTTACTGCCTGCAGAAGGTATTGATTTACAGAATGATTTGTTTTGTTTCTAGACCTGTTTTATAAGTCATACTCTAAATAACACATTTTTTTTCTACAAGTCCTCACAGTGAGGCGTTTGTGCCTGTCACCCATCACCCCGGTAAGCCCCCATCCACCTCCAAGCATTTTCTTCTCATTGGACGGAACTTCCACCAATGGCGATGCAGCACAGAGCAAGGTATGCTAACACATCCCTTCAGCCACTTAATGTCAAATTAGCATTGAGGTTGTAGTTATTAAGTCTACTTGATTTTTCATTAAACTAAAATTATCAGATGTTATGGCATAAGTCACTTTGTCATGAATACACAGCTTTTGCTGTATATCAGCACTTGCTCTTCATTTCAAATATGGGCATCTCTGACTCCTTGATTCCTTCCTCTGGTTCCTGAAGCCCACAAGGGTCTCCAGCGCTTTGAGGCCTTGGAGCAGAGCGACTGGTTCTGCGCTGGGCAAGCCTGCAAGGGGGTGGCACCAAGACAGAGGTTCCTAATTGTCTACATCTCAGACAAGAAGGTGAGGGGGAGAGTTTCGACCTGAGGGGTTACGGTGTATATGCTCTTCTTGTTCTCAACCCCTAAGTGCCCCACCCCTGGTTTCCCCCCGGGTCAGGTAACCCTGTACATGTATAACTGGTCGGTGGACCTGGGCGCCTCTCTGAGTCGTGAGCTGACGCGGCTGGTGCAGTGGCAGAACGCACGATCGCATGTGCTGCACTGCCTGCTCAGCCAGAAAATGGGCTTGTTCCACCACTACTGCCTGTCGGACCCTCCGGCGCATGAGGACCTCAAGCAGGTGAGCGCTTTTGGCCTTAAAGCTGGGGACGCATCACGGCAGCAAAGAACGGGCACCAATCACGGGTGAAGAACAATCGGCTCCCCTCAGTCGTTTATATTTCCACTGGAACACACTGGCATGGTTAGAGACAACGGCTAACATACAGCCCAATCACAGAACTGTTTCCAACATGCTTGGATGCAAATTCACGACACTCAGTCGGCCAAAACAGTGCCGTTGGGGACCAACCATGTTCGAGCTTGCCACACCCACTGGCGAAACCGGCAGTCAGACTCCCATCAATAGTCTGACACCGTTTTACAGTTAAAAATCAGCTTGCCGTGCTTCAAGCTAACTTTCACAAGTTCTGCACAACCATGTCCAAACATATGGCATGTAGATTTCCTCAGACAGTTCAAATACACACAGCTAGGTTAACTGATGTTTTGAAATTGCCAATAGAGTAGGTGTATGTGACCTATGATGGACTGACTTGGCATCCAGGGTGTAGCCCAGTATCAGTATAAATTTTCTGAAAGCTTTGTCCAGCTGATTTTTACTGGTATTCCTGGCTGCACTGATGGCTGTCCCGCTCGCCTGTGATTGGCTGCTCTGTTTCTATCCTTTTTCAGGAAAACAACCCCTTCCTGAACTCCACCCTGGAGGTGGACGCTCTGCTCCGCAGCCCCGTTCCCCCCGCGCCCAGCAAGGACCCAGGGCGGCTGAGCGGCTGCCCCCGCACTCTGCCTCTCATGCACTTCCACCCAGAGCTGGTGCCGTTCGACGAGGCCCTGCGAGACGTCTGCATCGAGCGGCCCATGTCCAGCGGGCCGGACGGAACCGATGCGGTAGCCCAGCACGGAGCCCAGCTGCTGGAGATCAAGGCCGCGGAGCGCAGGGGTCAGAATCAGCTTATCCAGCATAAACAGTTAACACCTTCAGTGCCTGTTTAATATTATGTGTCATTTTCCATTAATGCCTAGTTTTACAGTCATAGGAGAAAGAAAGTAAATCCTCCATCAATTCTGTATTTTTATTTATCAGGGCCAGAATACCAGTTGTGTGATCCTCACAACTTCTATAGACAAGTTTAGCCTCGAGTGACAAACAAAAAGAAAAAAAAATGATATGTCAATATGTTGTATTTTTTTCCAAAAAGTAATCCAACCTTCAGAATCCACGTGGGGAAAAAATAAGTACAGATTATAATTCAGTAAATTGTAGAACCACCTTTAGCAACAATCTCTAAGTTAAAGTTTTCTGTATGACTTAACTGGTTTCTTACATTGTTTTTGAGAAATTGGAATGAGGCAAAAAGGACAGCATTATGACACGTCTGTCAGGATTGGAGTAACAAAATGTTTGGAAGTCTAGGAGGGTATTGGCTGGTAAATAAAAGTGTAAAGCTTCCTGTATGAATTTGAGGATCTCTTCTGGTACCAGATGGCAGAGCGGTCTTTAGGGTCTTGTCTGTATTTACATGAAAGTTACAGTTAAGGCCAACCAAAAAACGTCCTAAATCTGTGATTTGGAATGATGAGTGACATTTATGAATGTAGTTATTTTTTAACAAATTGTGTGAAAAGTTGTGCTTTGCTTTTTCTGGGAGGCCAGAAATGGAGAAGCAGATGAAGATCGAGAACCTATTTGTAACGTGGCAGCAGAGGTCTGCACAGTCCAACATGCCCATCACGGTGAGTGGGATGCTACCAAAGTGTTCACCTGGCACCTTCAGGGTTGGGGGTTCGAATCCCACCAGCAGATTGTGTGTGTGGGGTTTGCATTGTCTTTCTATGTTGCTTGGATTTCCTCTGGGTCCTCCTGCAGTCCAAATACATACAGTTAGGGAAGTTGCCATTCTTTAAATTGCTTGTATAACATTGGTCACCAACATGTCACTCACAAGCTACTAGTAGCCTACAGGAAGTGAATGAGCATCTTACATAATATTTTAGAAATAGAATCCATTATGTTAATTTATATATTTTTAGAATTTTATTTTGCCTAAACATGCCTGTAAAACATCCTCATCCTATTTTCCTTACTTTACTCTTTATCTTCTGGAAGATGTCTACCAGAGGGTTATTCCACAAAGCAGGATTTCCCAGTTAGCAGGATAACTTAAGCCAAACATGGAAACTGCCCAATAGGAAGAAAGATAAGTTGCATTCCTATTGGACAGTCTTTACATTTGGCTTAAGTTTCCTAGATAATGAAAAAACCCTGCTTTGTGGAATGCACCCAGGTGTTTGATTAATGATCATTTGTTTTTGTTTGTTTCCTGTAACATTACTTGATGTATTGGTCCATGTTTGACTATTCCTGATATATCCGGAAAACATGGAATGTAGGGCAAATCTGTGGGAACTGTTATCCCAATACTTTAAGCCACAGGTGTCAGACTCCAGTCCTGGGGGGTCGGAACCCTGTACATTTTTGGGTTTCCCCCCGTTTAACACACCTGATTCAGCTTCTTGTGCTAATTACCACATAGCTGTTGAGCTGAACCATTTGTGGTGGAACAGGGAAAGAACTAAGCTACACAGGGCTGCGGCCCCCCAGGACTGCAGTTTGACACCCCTGCTTTAAGCCAATATGGAGAAATAATGTAAAAGTTATTTTCAAATGTTTATGTTATTTGTTGAACCCCCCAGATGGTCATTTCTGAGGTTATTTCTGAACTTGTTGGGTCCCACAGGTGACAGACCTTGAAACTCTGAAGCAATCCTCCCGACTGGTTCACTACTGCGCCACTCCTTTGCTGTTCGATCCTGTCTTCCGCAAACAGATCCAGGAAGGACAAATATTCCACCCCCAGCCTAAGGTGATGCTCTAGTTCTGTAAATGATAACAACTGACTGCATGATCTGCCGACCTTTTCTAGACCTCTTCAGGTTTTCTAGAAATTGCTGTATTAAATTAAAAGTAGTTCATTGTATTTAATAACATAATTTTTGTTGCTGACTTTACCATATTTTAAGAAATAGATGTATCAAACATGTCTATAAATATATATTTAATTTATTCATATTTATATATTAAAAAAATATTTAAAAAAAAACATTTTTGAGGTTCATACCAAGTGTTTTGGTGTGTGTAAAGTGCTGTATGTAACTGAGTTACAATAATTTATTCACATTTATTTTACATGTTATTTTTATTTTTATTATACATATTTTAGTTTGTATTTTGATTATTTTTAGTTTGTCGACAGAAAGTTAAAAATGTGAAAAAATTACATTGTAACTGGCAATATGCAATGCAATGCAATTTTATTTATATAGCGCATTATCACAACATTATTGTCTCAATGCGCTTTACATTTCTGCCACGTAAGGACCCCCCCCAGTGAGTAAGCCAAAGGCAACGGTGGCAAGGAAAAACTCCCTAAGAGGAAGAAACCTTGGGAGGAACCAGACCCAAAGGGGGAGCCCATCCTCCAGGGGCCGGCAGATGAATATAATTGTTACATTATAACAATACATTATATGGCAGTATAATCTAGCGATCAGTGTTCTAGTTTTAGCATTATAGCATTCAGTTATAATGTAATACTTTCACATTTTTACATTTATGTCGACAATTGAAAAATAATCAAAATAAATATATACAAACTAAAATGGCTTAATGGTTAGGGAAGCACACTTGTAATTGAAAGATTGCTGGTTCAAATCCCCGACCAGCAAGGCACCACTGAGGTACCCTGAGAAAGGTACCGTCCACAAGCACTGCTCCCCGGGCGCTGAATTAGCTACCCCCTGCTATGTCGCATTGTCACATATGGGTTAAATGCAGAGGACACGTTTCGTTGTTGTGTGCTGTGGTGTGTCAACAATGACCACTGATCTCCAAATTCAAATTCTACTGTAATGGGGACACTTGTTCACTGTTAACATTTCTTAGTTAAATTCTGTTTCCTCGCCATGTAATTTCTGCAGAAGCGACACCGATCGAACGAATCCACCCTGTCAGGCCGCAGCCGCAGCTACAGCACGGACTCCGCCGACGCCCCCCCCGGCCGGCCGCCGCAGGAGGCCTGGCTGCAGGACATCTCCAGCACCTTCCTGCAGCAGTACGTGCAGTACCTGCAGAGCATCGGCTTCATCCTGGTGCAGGTCCGGCCGCAGTCGCCAGCCCGAAGGTGACTGCCCCCGGGGACGTGACATGGCTCGGCCCGTTCTCCAGGGCCGGCCTCCTCCTGCTTTTAGACACTCGCCCCGCTCTATTTACCCTTTTTGATCCTGCTCCCCATAGCATCGCTCGAGCCCGAGCGGCCGCCTTCAGCTCAATGTCCAGCGAGGGTCGAGCGTCATTCTCCTGTAACAAGCAGAAGAGCGAGGACAGCCCAAAGGTGAGCTAGAGAGATGGGCTTATGTCATCGTGATGACTGGGGGATGGTGTGTGGCTCAGTGGCTTAGAAGGTTGCTGGTTCGAATCCCAGGGCCAGAGAGGTTTTTCCATTGGGCCCTTGGCCAAGACTCTTAAACCCCAAATACTCCAGAATTTCTTAGTAATGGTAAACAGCCCTTTGGATAAAAGGGTCTGCCCCCCTCGAAAATAGCTCCCCCTCCAAACGGTAAAATATACTGAGACCCCCTCCCCAGTTGGTGAAATCTACTGAGGGGGACCCCCATATCCCCCACCTCCGAAATGTATTTCTGGTTATGGACATGGTCCATGTGACGTGGATGAGACAGAGAAGCAAGGACTTTACGGGATTGGTGAGCCTGCTGGTTCATTTCGGGATTGGTGGGAAAGAAATATCAGAAAATAACAGCAGTGAAGTAGTGGAAGAGCTAATCTGGGTCAGGAATCGGGGTTTGGGTATTTATACTTGGGGCTAGAGAGAACTCAAGTTTAGTAAATGATAGGAGCAACCTGAATGAGGCGGACTGTCACCTGAGTCCACCCTGCTCATCAAATAACGGCTTATTATCCTTTTTTTACCCGAAGCTGAATAAATGTGTATATATCCTCTTCAGCGAAGCAGCGGACTGGGAACTAGCACCTATCACCTGCAGAGGGCGCTGCCAGGGGGGATTGTACTAATGGAGCTGGCCTTCCAGGTAATACAGGGGGAATATTCTCACATAATTGGACTGCTAAAATTGATGATCTTAAACCAAACAATGTAATTATTATTATTTTGTTTAATTTCCATTGAATTTGGTGTCTACCTCACTTTTGTTACATTTCTTATTTGGGTGGTTAATCGCTGAAACCACAAGTGAGATATATTTTATAGTATGGAGTTACAGAACTGTTATAGTATGCCTGTACAATCTCTAGAATTTCTGCAAAGTGAAAATGGAAATGCACCATTTGATGGCTGGGTTTTCTGCTTTGAAAGGCTTTAATTTTATTTTGGTGTCTTTGATTTGGTCTTAAATAGAGTAAGACTACTAGAGCCACTGAATGCCTCTTATTTTGGATGTGACTCTGACAGTTACTTTTATAATAATATTATTATTATTATTATTATAAATCCACTTCTGCCTCACCAGGGCAGTTACTTCTGCGTGACTCAGTACGCTCTGGAGTGTTCCCGCATCCCCATGGGCCAAACGGTCAACTCCCAGGTAAATATTTCCTTGCGGCTGATGTATTCGAGAGGTCGGGCAGTAGCTACTGTAAGTGAGCCTGTCTGAAGATCTCTGAAGATCTGGGCACAAGGGAAAGAGTATGGATACTGTAAACATGGAAGATGTCGACCCTAAAAGGCTTTATCCAATTTAGCATGTGATTAAATACACATGCTATGTGGTGATATTTACATCGAATGGATTCTTCGTTTCACAGAGAAGAAAAAGCGCTTAATTTTTCCTGTGCTGAATAGATTTTTTTCAGGGTCAGTCTAGGATAAATTTTTAAATAATTTTCCAGGAAAATTCAGTCATTAAGGCCAAAACTATGATGCTTGTTTTGCCAACTTAAAATACAAATCGACGCCAGTTTACAAAGCTATTAATATAAATAATAAATTACAAAGTATTTAATAATGAGTAAGTGCTGCTGGTGTAACTAGCTATGCACCTCTTGCCCACATTAGCTACTAATGAGAAAAATTATTAAGTCGAAAGATAAAATATATTTTTTAATTGAATTCGCTTTGTCCGTCTATGCTGTTCTGAGCTTGCTTTCTGATTGGATGAATCGATGTGACTCCAATGGTTCCAAAACCCATCGAAAGGTCTCTCATCACATGAAGACTTTCCCCCCTTTATTTAAAAGTCCACCTCAATCAGCATGCCGTGGTATGAGCAGATAGGCTTTGTGTAACTTGTGTTGTATCCATTGATCCGTCCACCCATTAACTACTCATCCAAACAGAACCAGTGCCACCCGAGGAATAAGACCCCAGAGAGCATATAAGTCAGGTTATTACCAATGTGGGAGGCCAGTCCGTCCCACGTCACAGCTGTCTTCTTAGGTGACATGACATAGGGTTACCTGTGCTGCATGTGTTTGGAAGTTAGGACTGAGGCCCCTGGCGCTGTAGGGATCACTGTCTGCTCTTGTCGAAAGGATGGCATGGATGGTACAGAGCAGTGAAAGCCAAGTATTAGCCCACCTTGTGGTTTGGGGGTAGCACTACATACAAAAAAACTGTTTCAGCAGTGCGGAAGTAGTATTGTATGATGTGCATCGGGGCATGTGCTCTACATCCTCTTCTCTGTCTTTCGAGTTTGAGTCGACGCCCATAGTTGGCGATACCATAATGGATTTTTTAGGGTTTAAATGGGAGCGGGAAGTGTTCTTCTCAGCCAACTGGCTGCACGTCTGTAGAACTACAGTGTCTGCTAGTACACAGTGTTTGACTACTCAGGTATCCTATTTGATTCTGCTATGGTGTGAACAGATTATCATAAGAAATGGATATGGAAGTTGTTACTGGGACAGTCTTTGGGTTTAATAAATTACAGGAAAGGAAAGGGGAACAAAAGTGCCATCCAGATGTCTGGACACAAGTCTGTGTGGGCCACAGGGGCGGGGCCACAGGGGCATTGGCCCCAGCTGAAAGCTGATCCCCTCCGTTGTTACTCACTGATTCAAAACATTTTATAGGCTAATGATAAGGTTGGCCCCTCTCTATAAATTATGGACCCTCTTATGTCCCCATCTCATCTTAAAATATCCTAAAATTCCATTTGTGGGCTGCTCGGTCTAAGTCGAGAGTGAGAAAGAATGGACTTCTCCATCGTTAGAGAATGGCTGTAGGTGAACGAATGACTCATCATCTAACTCGTCATCTGACTCCTCCTTCACCCCTGGACATCCACTCGTTCCCCCTCTTGTGTAGTCCGACTTCAGTTTCCACAAACTTTTCTTTGTGCTTTGTTTTACCAAGGTAAAATTAATACATAATGTATAATATATAAGCTAAAGAGTAAACAGTATCGTTAAGCTAGCTAACAAACACTACTTACTCAGCTATAGCTACTCACATAAAAATAACATTATGGCTAGTTTCCTGGTAAGCAACACATTTTAGCAAGTAATTTACCACCGAATACCATTTAGAACAAGATATATGCTTTTCATTTACTACAATCTCATTGCTTCTGACTTGCCTGTTTATCTAATGGGGTAACTTTAATTGTGTATTTCAATTATTTTATGAGGAATAATAAGAATCCTTGCACCACCAGCATGAACTACAAATAATAAAATGTATGAATTTATGCTTCCTCACCACTCACTTGTATGCTCACTTTTGTTTGTCTCTATCTAATGTGTTTGTGTCTGTCTGTACATTGTGTTCAACTCACGTCAGCCCCCTCCCCCCGCGTGCTCATACCGCAATGTCTTTCTGTGCCATGTCCCATCTCATCTGCTCTCTCCATCAGGCCTCTCTCCTCACCAAACCTCGTAGCAAGTCGTACACCGAGACCTCTTCAGTCTCTGACTCTGCGGTATGTCCCAGCACTGCCAGTATGGGCTAATCTCCTTTGCATTGGCTCTGCCCACACCATCATTTTTCCTGCTTCCCTGTCAACATCCTTTCCCTTTCTGTCCTCGGGTCCAAATCTGCTTGGAGCTCTTGATTGACTTGATTGGCTTAAATGAATCGGTGTTTCATAAACATTGGGGCCAGGATCACATTTTCAAGCCCCCGAGACCCTTGACTGGGAAGCATACTGCTCCTGTTGATTCTCTTGTTCAAGCCCACAGATTGGGGAGTTTTTTGTTCTTGGTTTATTTTCTCTATCAGATTTATGCATCCGTAGATTTATGCATTACGTATGGCTACATAATATTATGCATGGTCATTTTTTGTTAAAAATCCCAGCATGCTTTTAATTCTAACCTTTTCAGTTTTTGGATTTATTTTAGATACAAAAAAAAAAACTGTGAAACGTCTAATCCTAAATGATTTTTGAACTGCATGACTGAAAAACAGTTTAAATAATAAAAAAAACAGACTTGTTAAAGACCATAAAATAAATAAAAATGGGATTGCAGAAATTGCAGCTAGCCTGATTTTCATGCATTATCCTGTGTATAGTTACTTTATTTGGTATGTATCACTAAGGAGCTGTGAGATTTCTGAATGTGACCTTAGAGGATTTTGATTGCTATTTGAGAGGAGGTGCTACAGCATTTATTGGTCTAATTTTTCATGTTGGGCTTCTAAGTAGTTTATTTACTTCAGAATATTTGTTATCAACATAACCAAAATATTTATATTTGCATCCAACACTTTTGTGTGAGACAGGGATATTTGTGTCTTTCTGTGTTGTGAAGCAGTTACGCATTTTTGCTTTATTTTCTGGTTAGTCGGTTAAATGTTTGTGTATAACTAGCCTCAGAAAATAAACAAATAAATCTGTATAAATTGGTTAAGCATAATTAGTAATTTTGAGAATGCTAGTTAAAGTATATCTACTAAACACATGTATAAAATATGATTAACATAAAAATAACCCTGATGTTTCAGCACATAATCACAAAACCATATGTATGTGTTTATTGATAAACAGTCATCACGATTACAGATGTACTGTCAGCAAGCGCTGCTCTTGTCCCTGGTATCTCCTCCAATTGTGCTGTTCAATGCGCCGTTCAGTCAAAAGAGTTTTGTGCTCTGGGTCCAGAGGATGAACCCGGTGATGGTTAGAAAGTGCTGCTGACAGGCTGCGGATGCTTCTGTTTCGGTTCAGTTTGTTTCATGTTTGTTTTGTCACATCTGTTCTGAGAAACGCAGTGAAATTCTTATGCCACACTTGCAGTGGAGGGGACAACTGCAGGTGGGACCCAGAGCCCAGGCTGGATCTTAAATGAGCTGAATTCAAAGTGTTAAATATAGATTGACTGCAGGTGATCTTAAAAATTCCCCGTTGAGCATCATGTGGTGGGAACTTTGGGTTCTTCAAGAATCCAGTTACTCTTTGTCATGCTGGATGGTCATTTACTGCTCTTCTGTGGCAGTGTGACCTTTGGCAGTCAGCTCTGTGACAGGCGACAGAACCTTTACCGATGCTTCCCGTTTCCACATCTGTTCACTCTGAATTTGCATTCTCTGTGAGAATTTGCAGGACCATTGAGTTGGGGACAGCTGGCAGCAGACTGGTCATTCCCCAGTAACCCTATAATCACACTGTATCAGTAGAGTTTACACACTTGGGAAAACATGTATTGTTTTTTTCAATAAGACATGAAAATGACAAGTCATATATTTTACATGAGGTTCCTTTAAGAGCGAAGAAACACTTACTGTTTGGGCCAGAAGTTTAAAGTCTTTGGGTAGAATCTGCTAGTTGCATTCAATTAACAGGTGCGTCTATAGAGTACAGATAACATTAACTTTCCCCTTTAGATTCACCATGGTTTGGGATTTTCAGAAGAGTGTTTAACACCACATTGTATAATACCAGCTCATTATGTAATAACATGACAAAGAGTCAATGAAGACATCCATTTTGGTTGTTTATTACATAATGCACAGTATTGCATTTTCATCATTAAAAAGTGAAGTCCCGCATTTAATAACCATCGCAATCTGTAATAATTTGTTTACGAAATGCAGGGAAATTTATTACATATTATCTTACAAAATGTGACCATTTATTACAAAGTGCAAGTGTTATTACATAAAAAAGTAATAATTTGTTGCATTTTATCAAGTATGGTGCAGTATTATTACATAATGTGTTGTTACAGGGTATAAGAAGTTGTTCATTTTTGAAGTTTCTGTTGATTTTCTTACTGATTCAAGATTACTTAAAATTCATCCCTCCCTTTTCGGGTTTTATAGTCAAGTTAATAGACGTTTAAATTATTTGTGAAGAAGATACATTCTTATGTGGTCTTACTGAGAAATATTCAAACAGTCTGTCTCTAAGCAAGAAACATGCAGAACTAGGTTTCACAGCTCAGTATAAGATTATATATCCAGAGGGAGCATGTTTCTCAAACCTGTCCTTAAAAAAATGATCAGCATCACTATAAATGCTTTGTTCAAATCCCAAATTTGCTAGATGTGCCTTATGCCTGACAGCCATCAATAATACACAGGACAATGAAGCATTCCTGTGTTTGCAGGTCTTACTTATAGACAATCCAGCATTCTGTCATTCCAAGCCTATATTCCTGTGGTAGCAATACAGTGCTTCCCTCTCAGAGCATGATTATGAAAATAACAGCTGTCTGCTGCTTTTTTTTTTTTTTTTTGGGGGGGGGGGGGGTGCTTCTGCAGCTTGCCACAGCAAACAGGTACAACATCTACAGTGGACCCTTTGCCAAAAGCAGATGCATTAATCACATCCAGCAATAGAATATATTCTTTGCTCTGAATGCTTCCAGCTACTGAAATGGTTTTAAACTTGATTTAATATGACACTGATAACAAACTTCTTATGGGAATGCAATGTGCTGTGATTGAGTGTTTTATGAAATTTGTGCAACTCTTCACTGTAGGGAAATGGAGGGTTTTCAGAGCAAGTGCAGACCATTTTGTGAAGTACAATTCAGCTTGATTAGTGCAGCCCAGAGCGTGTGAGCGGAGCAGGAGCGGGAGCCGGAGTGGAAGGATTTTGGCTGGAGCGTGAGCGAGCGCGGAGCGGCAAATTTGGAAAAAAAAAAACTCGAGCGTCATATGCTCACATCTTGAAATTAATCATTTCTGCTTGAATGTAGATTTGCTTGCTCAGTTAGCCAGGCTACAATTTAAGATCACATTAAAATACAATACAGATTTGTTTTCTTTTTTCGAATGAGCGTGAGTGATTTCATGTTAGCATGATGAAAACTGACCGGAGCGACTGTGAGCGGGGGAGCGTACTGCTCCATGAGTGATGAGCTGAAATTCTCATTGCTCCGCTCTGCTCGCATGCTCTGGTGCAGTGTCTTGTTATGTAGCCGTCCTTTATGGTACTGAGGTTTAAGTGAAAGCCTTGCCAAAAAGAGAATGAAGGGAAAAATTGGTTAGGGAGTAACACTAAAAGGTAAATGGTTACTGGGTAAAGGATTTGGGTAGATCTGTGCAATACAATCCAAGAGGTATAGGCTGTGGTTATAGACTGAGGGACCCTTGAATGTTGACTCTACCTTTGTCTGTCTTGCAGCTCTCCATGCTCTTCACAGAGGAGTGCGATAAGGTGCGGGACTTGATGCATGTGCACTCTTTTAGCTATGACTTCCACCTGCGGGTGGTGCACCAGTATTTGGTAGGCTGTCACATGACCTTGCGGCAAGGCTATCAGCTCAGTAGCTTCCTGGAGGACTTCATGGCCCATCATCCTGACATTCCTAAATTTGGTCGAAATCACGTCTTCCAAGGTCAGTATTCCCAATACTTCCCCACACTAATCTATGCTCTGCTCTTGCAGTAAGTTCACAGTAGGTTCACTGACTGTTGAACTGTGGCTGAAACTGCTAATATGACACAGTAGATGCTAAGTTGTTGGGGACTGTCAATCCAACAGGAAGCTTCTCGATTTCCACGGGCATGATAACGGCTCACCAGCTCTACAACTACATTACCGACCATGCCGGCACCTACGATATGAAGCCATTACGTATGTCAAAGACTGCAATAACTACAGACAATAAAAAGGGGACACCAAATGCTGATTTGCATGAGTACGCACTCGTGGCACTATGGAACAGGTATGGCACAGGAACAGTGACTGTGTTTTTGCACTCTATACGCTGTCTTGATGAGTGTTGTTTTTGGTTTTCTGTTGTCAGAGCTTTTGTTGATACTTTTCAGCTCTGGTTCTTACAAGGATACAGAAGGCTTGCGTCACCATGATGACTTTGATGTGTCCCTTCTGGTGTGTCATAATGCTGCACCATTTGAAGAACAGTCAGAGGGGGAGAGACATTGTCTAAGGTACCACCCCAGACTGAGAGGCATGTTTTATATGCAGATCACAGTACTACATGATCCTAATTTGGCTACCTCTTTGTTTCCCTGTTATAAGTGTAGACCACCCTACTACATCATCGTGACTAGCCTCCCCCCTCTCATTTCATGTTGTATGTGTAGACCGCCCTGCCATATGGTCATGACCAGCTGTCTCTCTGTTTTCATGTTGTATGTGTTGACTGCTCTACAAGATTGTGACCAGCTGGCTCTCTCTGTTTCCTTGTTGTATGTGTAGACTGCGCTACTACGTGATCATGACCAGCCAGCGTGAGCTCTTCCCTCGCCTGACGGCTGACATGCAGCGCTTCAAGAAGCTCCCGCAGATCCACCGGGAGCTTGGCGACCTGGGGGGGAAGGTAACACAGGAGCAGCTGGAGATGGGCAGGACCGAGGACGACAAACTGGACCTATGGGAGGAGGCTGCCACCAGCGAAGATGGAAGATGCTACCTGTCCAGGCCCCAAGGTGGCGGGGCGACCCCGGTGCTTTTCTGCTCCTCCCCAGTCTTTCCGCTGCTGAACTCGGAGGTGAACTTTGCCCGACGGCAGATCCAGACTTGTGTGCAGCAGGCCATGGGGCACTGCCGGAGAGACAATCTTTGGAGGCGTCTCTTCCATGGGGAGCACCTTGCCTTAGATAAGCTCAAACTGAGCAAGCTGACGTTCCATGAACTGGAGGAACTGCTCAATGCCGTGCACAGTCGCTCCATAGGGGACATCGACCCGCAGCTGGTAGGTCATGATGAAATAGAGAAACCCAGCACAATACTGACTTTACATCTGATAAATACAGCTTTTGCCATGGGTAACAAACCTGACACTGAGACCTGACTCTGCTCTAAAACCTCCTTAGTGACCATAATTACAGAAGCACAGTCTGAGCTAACTGACTTTCACGTTTGTACTTGTTGAGTAGAATATTCTGTAGTAGTGATTCTCAAACTTTTTTGGATCAAGTACTACTTTGGATCAAACCAAAGTGGCCAAGTATAAAATCAGTTACCTGAATCACAATAGCAGATCATCATGATCTTCTCGCGTACCACAGATTGACTACAACTGTTCTGTAGAATTTTTCTCCCTTAAATGGCTTATGTGCCTGGTGTTCTGTATGCCTGGATCCAAAAGCCCATGAATAGGCACATGTCCCTCAAGTAATAAACCGCTGTTCTTCAACCTTTATTACTCTGGTGCTACTTTGATGATACTTTGTTAGTTTGGCTCTAGAGTTTTACTGTATGAATGGTGTTCTGGTAACGCTCACACGTGTCTTATCCCAGGATTGCTTCCTGACCATGAGCCCGGCCTGGTATCAAAGCCTAATCAAGGTGCTGCTATCACGGTTCCCACAGAGCTGCCGGCACTTTGTGGATGACAGTGGGATCCATTACCTGGTAGGAAGACCTGTTAAGGCACTTAACAGCCACCCTTCCCTGCAGGGAATGGTTTCTCTGTACTGGTCTTAATGGTCTACTGTGAATGCTGGATGTAATCCCAAGTGATTTAGCCCTGAAATCAAGCCACCAGTTTTTAGGTTTTTTAATATATTTTAATCTTTTAATATATTTTTTTAAGTATATTTACTCAAAAACAATATTTAAAGCAATTGATGCATTGTTTTTGCATGCATTTATACTCATTTATTATTTATCTTTTATATTGTTTATAAAAGTAGAAGTGATTGAAAGATGGAAGTTTGGATGGATGTTAGTTTACAGCGTACAACGCATGTATGACTACATAAGCAGGAACTGAAAATATATTCTTTTAAAAAATAATTATTAAAACAATAATAAGATGCGTAACTTAATTATGGGCTATAATAAAAATGTTTTTTTTAATTGAATGGATGTCTTATAGGTCTAGTTAACTTGCTTTCTTGGATTACGTCAGTGTCTGATGTGTGTTTGTCTCGTAAATTCGCCTGGGGGTATTTGTTTACTCGTTGCCCTTTTTCCTCACTAAGGCTGTCCTCAATCAGAAATTCACGGACTGCTTTGTTCTTGTCTTTCTTGACACTCAAGCAGGAAAAACAGTGAGTACTAAATTATCACTAACATCTGTATCAAACGATGAAAATATCACTGGTTTAAGAAGGTGGTTTTCTGCCCCCCCCTCCCTTATTTTGCCTTCTGGCATCTTTTCCTTTTTCCTTCCGTTTAATATTTTGTATACATGATGTAATGATTTGCCACAAATTGGATGGATGAATTGAAATTCTCACAATCACTGACAGACCATTTTACTGCTCTTTTCCAGAGTCTCAAAGTGGTTTTCAGAGAACCGTTACCTTCCCACCAACAGGGTGGCAGCAGTAGCCCTCCACCCCAGCTTGTCTCCATGTACCATCACCTGGAGTCGGTCATTAACACAGCCTGCTTCAACCTCTGGACTGGTCTACTTTAGCCCTAAGCTTTATAACCCCCTTTCCCTGTCACGAGTCTTGCAGTGTTACGAACTCACATTTCCCGCATACTCATCTGTAGAGCATGCTGTACAGCCCTGATCCTACATGAAGGATTACTTGATGACGCCATTCTGGTCAATCAGAGTGCCGGTCATGAATGCAAGTTTGCACTTATGCCTAGAACTGCTTCCACATGGGGCTTGGAGCAAAGAGACCCCAAGTTCAGACACATTCATTTGCAGTGATTTCATTTACATCGAACGGACTGCATTTGTACACTAGTGTGTCTTCATCCAAAAAGTGCCTGCACTGTTTTATAATTTAATGAAAGATGTGTAATATTGAACTTGAATGAATGAATTATAGAAAAGACAATTAAAATTACAGTTTAAAGAATTAGGATCTGTACTTTTTTTTACAAAATGAAATGTGCTGGATAGGTTTAAAATTGCTTAATGGTTGGCAGAAGTTTACAGGGAGTAAAATGATGTGCATTTCACCCTTGGGTGCCAGGAGAAGGATCACTAAAATGTGTCATCAGTACTGTGACTGGACTGTATCCAGTGTTTAATGCTAAAATCATTTGATGCTAGAGACCAACAGAAAAACACTGCTGGGTTTGTATTCACAGCCTGTGTAGCTTTGTATTCTGGTGTTTTCAACACAAAGGTAAGGGAAACTGACTTCCCCAGGGCTGTTAGACTCATTGCAACCAGGAAACTGAGCTATCTGGACATGACCTGAAACAAAATCTAATTTTTCATTACAAGTAAAATGGTTCAAGAGTGAGATTTCAGTAGTGGGTGGTCGTGAATCAGCAGGTTAGGACACTGAACCTGTGATCAGAAGGTCATCGGGCGAACTCTTGGGGTTGGTAGAGTGATTTCACTGTTGGATCCATGAACACAGTTGCTTCAGGAACTGTTTGACCCCTCTTACAATTGTACGTCACTTTGGATAAGTGTCTGATGAGTAAAGAAACTGTACTAAAGCCTGCCATTATGCTCATCCATAAAACAGCTCATTTAATTACCAGTGTATTAGTCCCACTGCTGGTTAGGAGTGTATTAACCACGCAGGTCACATGAGTGAGTATACTTTAGGGATGCCAACTTTGGCCAGCTGGCTGGAGTGAGACTTTCAATTCGAGAGAAGTTTGCACACACATGCAAACGCATTGTAGGTGCATACATGTATGTAACAGTTGTATTACCTTGTAAATTGTCTGTATAGGGAATGTAAACTACCCCAACACTGTTGGTGTACTGTATATAATTTTAGGTTTATAATGGAATAATATAGATTTGCCGTAAGATTTCATGCATGAGTGTGTGAGTCTGAAAGAGTGAATGTCATGCCAGATGCATGAGAGCAGGCAACCCTGATACTTATGATAGGGAAATTCTTCTGGATGTTCTGTATTAAATTCCAATCCTCTGTTTGAAATGAAGAGGGATTGGAGTGTCCCACTCTGTTTACATTTGTTAAAATAAGGTTTGTACTTAAATGCAAATAAACTCTCCTTTAAATGTTTCACATTATTTAAATGGTAATGTACATATACACATTTGGTGGCATGGTTTATGCAATGGGTGGCCCTGCTTCCTCACATCTCTGGTCCAGGATTGGGGTGCTGTGTCCTGTTCTGCTTGTGTTCATGTAGGTTTTCTCCAAGTTCTCCAGGTCCACTATTAGATTAAATTCATTTTTGTATCTCATTGGCCCATAGTGTTGGACGTGTGATTGTCCTCATTAGAAATGTGCCACTGCATCCAGATCCATATATATTTATATGAACTTTATAAATTCATATCTTGTGAGTGTAGTATTGGGTCTACTACTTGGAGTGTTTTGGAGCGGGTTTCGTGTCCTGGCTTTTATTTTGGCACTGTCCCTGGTGTTAGGGGAATAGGGGTCTTTTTGTCTAGTCCTCGCGCGCGGGCGCTTGTGTTTTTTTTTCTTTTTTACGGTGAATAGTACCCGCTGAATTTAATGTCCATTGTTCCTTGCTGTATGTGCGCCTTCAGTCACTTAAACTCCCCACGCCTTTCAATATCTTGTTCTGTGTGAGACCCATTGACTTGCCGCACTCCAGATTTACCAAATAAAAACAATTCTAAGGGGAATAGTTAGACCAGGAAATTGGGGTTAACGGGTTTGCCAACTGTCACTCATCTGGCGTGACACTCACGCTTTCAGTCTCACGCTACAAATTCAAAGGCAAATCTATATTATTCCATTATAAACCTAAAATGAGCTAAATCGAAAGCGTCGGGGCCGTTTACAAATCCTATTGACTATTTACAAGGCAATTAACGTGTATGTAACACTAATGTGAGGTGCAGATTTGTTTCGAACTGAAAATCTCACGACAGCCAGCTGACGAAAGTTGACAACCCTGGATTAAAATGAAAATCGCGTCATTTAACACCTCTGGCATATTGCCCCAAGTGTACGGAGTGAAGTAATACTATGTTTAAGGTCGAGGTCCTTTTCTTACAAACTAAGTACACACATTCCGCAAATAGAAATAGGTGAAACCGTTGTTACCAGCTCTCAAACATTTGGCGTGACACTCACTTTTTCAGACTCCCGTAAGAAACCTTAAGGCAAATCTATATTATGCATCCGTTTTCCAAAACCGCTTATCCTATTCAGGGTCGCAGGAGTCCTGAGCCTATCCCAGAGACTGCGCGCAAGGCACGGAGCAAACCCAGGATGGGGCGCCAAGCGATCGCAGGGCACTCACACATGTACACCTATGGGCAATTTATTAATTCCGTTTAGCCTGGACATGTTTCTAATTTTGGGACTTGGGGTGAGGAGAAACCGGAGATAACATCATGATGACACGGGGAGAACATGCGAACTCCACTCACCTGGTGGACACTTGCACCCAGGTCCCAGAGGTGTGAGGCAATAGTGCTAACCCCGCCCCGCAAGTCTATATTATTCCATTATAAATCTAATATAAACCTAGTTGTAAAGTAATAAAATTTTGTTTGTGCAGACTTGTCTTTAATTGAAGACCTCACTCCAGCCACCTGACCAAAGTAGGCAATCCTGGGTTAATACTGAAGCATCGTCATTGAAAATATAGCCTGAAAATCTGAATGTAATCAGGGTCGCATATTTGATTTACGAACAATTAGGTATCACGCAGATGATACTATTGCACTATTTGATTAATTTTAAACTGTTAAACATCATTGGCTCTTATTTTGAAAAGTTCACCCGGAAGCTCATAGCAGTACTAGGAGCAGTAGTACGCTGAAGCTAGCAGTAGAGCACCGATTGAAGTAGTAATGTAGCTATGGCGTCTGGCCGTGGTATTGGTGAAATTCAAGACTACCTGCTGAAACTCCATTCATTTCTCAGTGACTCAGAAATCAGATATGCTGCACTTCAGTGTCACGATATAATCGGCGACTTGGGGCAAGAGTGCTTGATACCGAAGAGGGAGAGCGATTTCGGTGGGTTTTAATTACTCAGTCAGCCTATTAGTGGTACAATACCTTAGTTTACTTTAGTCCCAAAGTTTATGTACTGTATAAAGCTGCAAAGCAGATTGTAACCCCGTGAATCATGCAGCGTTTTACATTCAGACCTACTGAGAAGACGGGTGGATTTCTCATGATTTTCTTTACGTAAAATGCATCGTTGGTATTCTTTGGCAGATAGCCTGTGCTTGACTTATTACCATGTCTTATCAGTTATAACTGCACCTGCATCCTGATTTTTAAAACGGCGCATTCACTGGAAGCTCAGCCTAGCTGCACTTACGCCTCATCGGCTCAGTGACAGCACCTATGTGTGTAATGTGCTATTTGCCTCACTTGTACGTCGCTTTTGACAAAAGCGCCTGCTGAATAAAAAGAATTAATGAATGATCCAGATCTCTCCTCATTATTAAGTTTTCCAGACGTCTCTGCTGTTTTCGAAGGAAGAGGGACTGCTCAGCTTTATCCGAAAGTCCATCAGCCATGATGAAGTAAGATAGGGGCGATCCGCAGTAATAAGTGTGATAAAGTAAATAAACTACGTGCTCTAACAGTCCTGTGCTCTGCAGCTCCGAGATGCTAGACTGGAGATCCTTAGCCTCTTGGAAAAGCTTCTTCAGAAGTTATCTTCTGAGTGTAAAGGGTGGGAGAAGAACCATGCTGTTGATATCAAGGTATACACCTACATTCAACTGTAGCTGTATTCAATGGCACCAAGGTGCCTCTTGTCACCAAATTTCCACTGAAATGTTTTAGTTAATGTTGCTTTGTGTCTTTTGTGCAAATGTTTTCACAGTATGGAATTTGAAAAAGAACAACAAAATAACCTGAGTGCGTCAATGCATTAGGATCAGGGACATTAGTTTTATTATTATGAGTTTGTTTATATGTAGTTTGGACAGGGGGCATCTATAAAGTGTGTATATCCTAAGTGTATTGTATTCTCTGTCCCTCTCTAGATGTGAAAGTAAGGTGCGTTCTGTTTTATAATCCCTGTTTTCTTTTTTTTTTAATCCCTGTGTTTTCAGGATATGTGCCTCCTTGTCTATACAAAGGACAAAACTGCAAAAAGCAGAATAGCAGCCCTGGAGCTTCTTATAAAGGTCATTTTATATTTCAGTTTGTTTTAAATGTAATTTTTTTTGGCCTGAACAATTGCTTATATGCATATTGTCTCTACTTTAAAGGTGTTGTTCGTGACAAAGGATTCTGCTGTAGCTCATGACTTTAAAGTTGCCGAAATATTCAACAAGTTCTATGGAGAACTTGGTCAAAGAAGTAAACTACCTGACACTGGTATGTTATATATGGTATATAATACTATAGAAATTAAGCATATATACCTCATTGCCGAAATAATTTTTGTGGTGTTTTTTAAAAAAATGTTTAAGAGTTTATGCCTCCAGATTATTATGCTTACTTCTAACTTATCTGAAGGCCCCCGATGTTTCCTTTTGCTCCAGTGCTGGAGACCTCATGATTTTATGTTTTTTTCCTGCTTTTGTTACAGTTCATGGTAACATCTATGAGCTGTTGGGAGCACTTGGTGAGGTGCAACCTGCCGAAATGATAAATAATTCTGAGAAGCTGTTTAAAGCCTGCCTGGGAGAGCTTAAAGCTCAGGTACGGTTGTGATTATTTTAATTGATGAAATGGCAGCACACCCACATTGATATGTATACTATGTTTGTTTTGAACTATTACATTTTTAAAAGTTTTTATCTTAAAATTATTTTTCAGATGACTTCTTTGACAAAGGAGCCCAAGTTGCCTATTGTTGCTGGATGCTTAAAAGGACTAACCTCACTTATGGTTCATTTTACCAAATGCATGGATGAAGGTTTGAGTTTCCTTGCACCCTTTAAGGCTAAAGGCTGTTGGAGTAGTTTTCAAATATGCC